GCTGTAAAACATTGAACTGATAATAATAATAATAATAATAATAAGCCCTTCTTAATCCAGAGAGGAGGGATGGATGAATGTCTCAGCCAGCTGCGTCACTGCTGCATGGAGGAGGCTTTCTGCAGAAACTCTGCCATTTCCCTGGCAATGGAAGGGGACCCATCTCACCAGGAAGGGGATCCATCTCACCGGGTTCTGCCGGGGCCCCCAAGTCCCCTGCCCAGAGCTGCTGGATAAAGGGGCAGAAAAGACAGGAAGAAATGCTCCCGTACCTGCGTCTTGCTAGAGAGCAGCCTGGAGCGCGATCCTTCAAGACATTGCCAGCTTCAGATTATTACCTGTCACCACCGACCCAAGAGAACACACTGACCTGCCAGCATCTGCCTGCTGGGGAGCTGGAGATGAAAGAGTGCCAATACAGCAAAGCCTGTCTTGGAAGCAGTGACACGATGATTATTGCTATTGCTTATAATCACACATAATGATGGCGCAGGAGAGCACCATGGCCATTGGGAATCGATTTAGGACAAGCCCAAGAGAAAGCAACGCTGACAAATGCCCAGAAATGTTGAGGGGAAGTCAACGAGAAATGTGTCCACACCTGCGTCGCACACGTTAATGGCAGCATCTCTTGGCCCACTGCTGGATCTCCCTGAGTGGTTGAAAATTACCTGGGCATGGGCAGTTGACAAGGAAGGGTTCAGGTCTGCATTTTCATACATACACTATTGCATGCCAAGGCATGCAACCAAGCCATGAGGTGCGAGCAGCTCATGCCCATGCTCACCAGCCTGTCTTGGGGCCAGCCCCATGGCTCTGCACCCTCCTGCTGCTGGAAGGAAACATCCAGAGAGTGATGGTTTCCCACCATGGGTGGGAAAGCAGGACTGGGACTGCTCGGGGGACAGCTGGGGCGAAGGGCTTAAAAGCTGGAGCAAGCTCGGAAAGCCAAAGCTCCCTTGCCAGGGCTTTATTTTTTTCCTACCTACCTTAAACAAGGGATGGGCTTGGTGCAACCTGCAGCCTCCACTGCTGCGTGGAACAACATGCCAGGAGCAAGGGCAGGGCTGCTTGGCTTTGCATGCACCAAGGGATGTGAGCTGCAGGGCTGGCTTCGCATGTGGTCACAGAGCTGGAAGCTCCAGCCAAAGAGGTTTGCATTTTAATGCCCACACAGGTCTAGGACACCCTGGCCCCAGTTCTCCTTTGGCACTGCTGGTGTGAGGCTGCAGAGATGCTGTTTACCACGAGAGGACACCATCCTACCTCCGACTTCCTCAGCGCACAGCACTCAGTAAAAATATCCATAATAATATTACAGGGACCGACTGGAACACACACGTTGGAGAGGAGAGCAAGAAAGAAACAATATGTTTATCATCCTGCTATAGCCAGCGAGAACGCTGCCCTGCCATTTATTTCTGCAGCAAGTACCCCTTTAAATATACAAATCACAGGGACATTAGGCTGTAATAGGCAGACCAGGGATTAGTTTGAATATACTTCATTTGGTGATTTGTGTGTGCGTGCGGGTGCGCGTGTGTGTTGGTTGACTTTAAAATGGAATAAACCACATTTAGCAGCTAGGTAGCTATGGAAACATAACCAAAATTGTTCTACCACCTTTCTGCCGCACTGCTTTCCGCAGCCCTGCAAATACTGTCAAGGGAGGACTGAATATTGTTTCTTATAAATAATAGAATGTAAAGAGCTACAGAAAGAATCACTAAATTAGGATCGTGAAGTGGGGATGGTTCAGGAAAAAAAAAAGCCCAGTAGATATAATATTAGTTTCTGATGACTTAGCAATGATAAGGGACTTAATTTTATTCTTTTGTATTTCTGCAGTTTACAGAAAGATACAGGCTGGGGAAATACACGCATTTTGGTGCATGTACTCGTGGGGAGGTAAGTATGTATGTATATGTATGTAAATATATGTGCACAAACACACTCCCAGCTGCGTATACACAAACAGAAATACAACAGCGTTTCGGTGGTTGAAAAGCAAAGGACCTTGCCTGCCGCCTGGCTCTGCTCGGGGAGCTCTTGCTCCATGGCTGTACCTGCAGCCCAGCCCTGCCCCAGCCCTGCTCCCCATGGTCTGTACACACCGAGGGGCTCCCGAGGTGCTGCCCATCTCGCTGAAGTGTTTGGAACAGCAGTGGCCAGGGCAAGGACAGGGGACGAGGCAGGACTTGCTGTCACAGAAGGCAATGGCGACATGGGTTTGGTCAGGTGTGTCACCTCTTGCTGATGGTCCTCCATTGACCTGTGTTTTGGGTGCTGGCCCAGTTCAGCAGTCCCAAATGTCAAATGGAGAGCCAAGGCTGGGGTTACTGCACAGCACCAGCACCACCCAGCCCCACATCTACCTCCTCCCAGGCACCCAGGGCTTTCTTCCTCTCGTTTGCTCCTTCAGTCCTGACCTCTTCAGACCAAGGACTCCTGAGCTCTCAAGGTCCTGCTGTGAAGGACTCTGCAACCCTTTTCACATTGTCTCTCTGGCCTGGCCCCCAGGGCACTGCCCCCAGAACTGCAGGCAGCACTTGAGGTGGACGGGTACCATGGATGTACGCAGCAGTGTGAGGACAGGCTGCTTTATTCTCCATTTCTTTCCCCGTAGCTCCTAGCTTCGCCCTTGCCTTTGTGGTTGCTGCTGACATTTCCAGAAACAGCCTGCAATGCCTCCACAATCTCCTTACAGAGAGGTAATAGCTCATTTAGACTGTGTCGCTGTGTAGGGACAGCCACTGTTGATTTTTCTCCATGTGCAGTTACCAACAATGAATTTCCTCTGCCATTTTATCACCTGCATGCTGCTATCCTTCTGCACTTCTTCGCAGTCAGCTTTTGTTGGCACTCTCCTGAATTAATGCTGCTGCTGCCTTACAAATCCTGTTTGCTGTCTGCTCCCTCTGCCAGGCTGTTTGTGGGCATGTTGGACAGCACGAGCCCTACCACTGATCCCCGGAGTGCCTCACACATAACTCCTGCCCACAGAGCCAAGGGACGGCCCCCTCTCACTTCACTCCTAAACCTTATCTCCTTTTGAAAGCCCTTTTGGAGGACTCAGAAAAGCAGTTCAGCATCCAAAATGCTCTGAGCAAGTAGTGCCAGGACTATGAGTAATCAGACCCATCCTTTTCCTCCCAGTGAATGGGTACACTTGCTCTCTCTCCCTCTCCGAGCCTAGCAAAGGCACATCTTCCCCTCCTGTCCCATTTGGGGTCTGGTACTGCACCTAAGGTCTCTGGATGTAGCTCCCTAACGAACCAGCTCGCTCCCCTCCCTCCTCATCCATCGGAGGGTCCGCGGGCCTGGGCCAGCTGAGGCTGCTGTGAGGACAGCGTCCGTCCTCCAGGCCCACGCAGCACAACTTGGCTCCCGTCGGGGCCTCTTGGCAGAGATGCCTATACCAGGGAGGAAGGAGAATGGGTGATGAAGCAGATACCTTTGGCAAGCTTGGTGGAGTTAGCGCTGCTAATTAGCAAGCGTAGAGGGCTTCAGAGGCAGCTGTGCTGCTGCAGCCCCCTGCCACTATCTAGCCAGCCTCGTGGGCCGTACCAAGCGGGGATAGGGCCCTGCCCTACTTCAGATTTCCTGCTCCAGATGCTGGATTTGCCACACATGGAGGAGGCGATGCCAGATGCCTCATCCTGCCTGGCGGAGGAGTGCTGCCCAGGCCCCTCGCATTCTGCCTTCGGAGGTTAGGAGCAGGCCCCTCCCCGGCCCAACGCGTTGTTGCTTTAACAGGCAGATGGATGGAAAAACAAAACCCTTTACTGTCTATTGTTAAACTTTACTGTCTAATGTTTTAATAAACAGTCAAGTTCTTCCTCCGACCATTAAATCAGCAGTAAAGCAGGATGGAGACTGGTTTATGGGAATCTATCTGCATCACTAACATACAAATGTGAGGTCTTGGCAGCCGCGAGCAGCTACTCCCCGTCGCGTGGCTTCCTGCCCACTTCGAGGGCTGGAGCTGCTGTGGGTTTGGAAGGGGTACAGCTCCTCCTGCCTGCTGGGAGACGGGCAGAGCAGCCGCTCACAGGCCCTCCTTGCCCAGTTCTCCACTGAACTCCACATCAGCCGAAAGGTTAGTGCAGGTGTGATGCTCTGTCCCCAGGAGGGGGACATCCTCCTTGAGACGGCCAACTGGGGACATCCCAGTCCCAGAATGGTTTAAGACAGGCAGGCTGAGCAGTGCTTTTTACTCCTAAGTCTTCAGCAACTGAAGGGAAACATTTAACTGGCACCTGTTGATTACATTCCGTGGTCAGAGGCAGACTTTGCTGCCAGCCAGTGTCACCTCTTGTCACACAGTGACACGGAGGCCAGAGGCTTATCAGGAGTCTCAGAGGAGATGGATGATTTACTGGATAGGAACCAGAACAGCTACGGGCTCAAAAGTAAAAATCATTAAAAACGTAAGTATTGGGGTGAGAGGTAAGGGGCATATTGCCATACGGCCGGTTGCAACCCAAGGGTCACCTGTGGCAGCAGATTCTGGCTCTGTGCTCTGCAGCACCAAAGCCGGGGCTCTGCTTAGTGCACTTGAGTGCCCTACAGTCAGTGTCTAAAGAAACCTAAACCCTTTGTTATCTCTGGGATGATTCATGTTTGCTTGATAATACTAACACCCTTTAATCTCTGTTTTTCCAAGAATCCCCAGCCTGCAGCTGCGGGCCGTGTGGATGGGAGCAGGCATGGTGGTCCATTAAGCTCGCTCTGGGTAGGACTGACTTCTAAACACTTTCCAAAGCATATCTGCTACCCCTGCTCCAAAAGGAATAAGGATCATCCTACCCATCCCCAAAGTAATTTTTAACAGATCACAGTTGTTGCGTCAACTTTGATTACCAGAAATGAGGTTTTATCTCCTTGGGGGTGGCTCTGTCAGCAATAGATACCAGGTTTCCTGCTTAGCACCATTTGTGGTCTGTTCCAACCGTTTGTCCAGTCATAAAATTATTAGCACATTATCCCTGGGCAATGGCTTGTAATTTTCTCTTTTTATTACTCAATAAACAGTTTGGAACCCAACCCCCCAGAGTGAGAATAGGATCTAACTTACTACTTACACATACATAAATGATAGAGCAAAGAGAGAAGGTATAGGAACACAGAAATGCTACCAAGGTGGAAAAAAAAAAAAGAAAAAAAAAAAAAAGAGAGAGAGAGAGAGAAAGAGAAAGCTATTTTGTAAGCTTTTTATTGTAATGAACAAAAAATGTGGTGTTAAGAGGACAAAGACAAGCCTTGAGAAGTCCTGCAGGAGAGGGTTGCTGGGATAAAACTTCCTCCATAACAGGCCCAGCAGCACACACCCTGGTTTTCCCTACACAGTCCCAAATGCCAACACACTCTGGTGAACATGCCTGGATGCTTGGAGAGCCTTGGGAAAGAAAAGTACAGTGGTTAGTTGACTCAGTATGGCCGTACTCACTCGTTCCAGCTACATTATAGCTATTTATTTCCAGCTATAGCTAGAAGGGGCTTTGATGGAGGAAGGGGATTTTCTAAATGAAAAAGAAATGCAGTTTATGGAGAGTGAAAGCTGGTCCCAAATCCAAGTCTAATTGAATTAGAAATTGCCTGGATGCTTTCTTTCTATTCAAAAGCTTGTTAAACTTCCAAAAATATGTATATATATTCTTACATTTTCTAAACAAATCCATTCAGCTTTTTTTTTTTTCAACGTGACATTTTCTATTTCAAAGTTGACCTATTTTGAGAAGTAAGAAAATTAGCTAAATTCCCCCATATCAAAACATTTCACTCTGGGCTGAATAAAATATTGGGAGCTTGTTGTTTTTTTTTCCCTTTCTGCAAGGAAGTGTACTCCTCACTGGGGGCTACCAGAATGGATTTTATTTATTCTTTTGAAGTCCATTTCAGTCATGGAACAGAAAAAAACTGTCTGCACAATTTGCACAGCAATGATTTCCAGCCTACTTTTGCATTCCACATTAAGGTATCTAATCCATCCCATGGATTTGGGATATAAGAATTTGAAGTGTAAGTAGGGATTGATAAATTGAGTAATGGGTTTTATCTACAACAAAAGTTTCTTGGGGCATATCTCCCAGAAAAGAAATGTCCACAGCCTACACTGTTCTGCTGGACAAAGGTTCCTCTCAATACTCATCACTGTAGTTTGTTGGTAGCTTTAGAAATAAAGGTGAGCAGAGATTTTGTATTGCACTCCAGCCTGCCAGGCCAATCTCTGGATGACTTCACTCACAGTCAAGGGACAGCTTTTAGGAATCATTCTTCAAATGTTTTGAACTCTTCCCCTGACAGCATTTGATTAAATAGATTTTTAATCGACACGATACTTTACACTACAGCTGCCACTGGTGTGAGGGAAATAAAAATCTATCAACTGTCGCAAAAGTCAAAGCTATATATTAGAGCATCTGTGCAAGATTGCATGTTTCATTTCATCGTTTTTGGAGAGGCTTATTAATAAGGATGCCTTGCTTTTTGCAAACAGTGGCAATACTTTTGGTACGTGAGACATAGTCCTACTCTGAGTTGAAAGGCTGCCTCACTGGAAGGTCTGGGCAAGATGACATGGCAGGAGGGTTTTCTTTCTGATGCAGTTCTTTCTTCTTTGTAGCTATCCAATGACACTCTCCTACTCTGGAACAATGTTGGGGAGGAGAAAAAAAAAATCCATTAGGGTTACTATTTGAACATCTCAGAGCCTTTGCTCCAGGCTGCCTGGAGGCGCAGTTGGCCAACTCTGCGTCATCAGCAGGTTTCCTTGACAATGCCTAAAAGATGTTCTTTCAAAAGCTGGACTCTGAAGCACAGTTCTTGTCTGCACACCAGCCCCTGCAAACCAGGTCTCATTTGAAGTCAGTTGCCAGAATATGTGATGGAGTGAGATCTGTGTAGCTTTCTGATAGCATAGCATGGAGCTCAACTTTCAAAAACTTTTCACAAAAGGTTGTGTTGGGACTGCTCAGTGCAATCAGTGCATGAGCTGTTAATGTGGAACTCATGATTGCTCGCAGCAATCACGGGGTCTGAAAACACAGCAGGATTCAAAGGAAGATCAGCCACTCACACAAGGTAACAAGGACATCTTAAAATGAGCATCTATTGAATTGGGATTCAGAGCTAATTTATCCCAAGGGAAGGTTATTTGTTAACTGCCTCTTGAAGAGTTTCTGATAGAGCTGAAGGAAGGGTGACAATTCCTCTTCACAGCCACCCCCAAGGATTATTCATTCTCCTTTGGAATGAAAACTAAAGCTTGACAGAGGGGTACAGGGACTACAGACCACAGCACAGATGCTGCAGGTTCAAGTCCCTGTTGCCTGAGACAGAGGTTCTCCAGCCCCAGAAACCAGGGCTGACCCTCCCTGAAGTTGCTGTCACTGACCAGCACTTGAGGCTCACTTGCTCTCCTTCTGCACCATATTCAATTCTCTTCCTTCCTCAGAGTGCTCTGAATTCAAAAGCCCTCTTTAGAAACAGATGGGTGGTATTCAGTTGCCAAAACACAAGGACCTCGTTCTGTTTGGGCTGTCCAAGGGTACTCCTCCCAGCTTGCTGCCACTCCAGATGGGCACCAGCATACCAAGGATGCTAAATCATATCTGCAGCTCCCCTGCAGATGCTCAGTACCTGCTGCCGGTGCTAACCAGCCTGGGTAGGTGCCTGCACTGCCAGCCCTGCCTCCCCTCGGGGGTGGTTGTGAAGAGGAGTTGTCACCCCTCCTTCAGCTCTGTTGGAAACTCTTAAGAGGCAGTTAACAAATAACCTTCCCTTAGGATAAATTAGCCAAATAGCAGGCACTTGAGAGACAGAAGAACCTCTTATTTAGGCAAAAATGTTTCTTCTGACTCCTACTGACTCCACTGGCTGACAGCGACCAAGATCAAAGTTAACAGATAGGACTGACAGTGCCAGTGTTCCTCATTAAGGTATGATCCTTACAAGGAAGGCTCGTTAGGATCTCTAGGTTATCCATCACCCTTACGCCTGCACCTGATGACCCATGCACATCTTTGGCACCATGACACCAAGCTACAGACACCAGCAGCGCTGCTGTGTCCCTCTGCAGCCTCTCCCAAATGTGGGAAAAAAACCTTTGAAGCCACCAGACAAAATATCAGGCTTGGTGGCAGCAAAGAGTCCTGCCAAACGGATTTTTTTATTTTTTTTTAACCAATTTCACATGAGCATCACACTGCTCATTCTAGACCACCATTCCTGCCTCCTTGTTTCAATAAACAGTTGTATCACTGGTCACTTGCTAGACCCTTTGCTGGCCAGCTCCTGAATCCAGGAACATCACAAATCTGTCAGTCTACTTCTTCCCTCTATATTCCTTGCAATGTGTCCCAGTGCTTCTCTTAATATCTCAGTGAAACCATCTGCCTGAGACACACCTGGGCCCTGCTTACCTCTAGGCACTTGCACGGATGCAGTGTTTCCACAGGGACACTACTTCACCACCTTGTAGAGGAGGGTTTCCTTTAAGCCCTTGGTAGGCCTGAGGACGTGACAGAGTTGGTGAAATGGAGTAAGTCCCATAACAGACCAACGATGTGATGTCAGGATGGAGAGGTTCAGTTTGAACAGCCAGTTCTGGGTGGCTGCAAAAAGTCAGAAATCAGTGATTGAGAAGCAGAGTTATTTCCTCCTTGGGAGCCAGGTGGGTCACGCTCCTCAGCCACACTACCAGCCCCATCCAGACAGAGCTGAGCATCCATTTTAATCAGTCCCCAAATGCCCTACCAGAAGGAAACTGTTTAACACCCTAAAATCTCAGGTGAGGGGACCTGGCATCACTGCAGGAGGCATCTGGCTGTGGAGCTCTGCTCCAGAGGCAGCAGCTGACTCTGAAAAGGAGCAAAGACAGAAATGAGGCTTAGAGCAGCAAAATAAATCAGTGACAGAGTTTCAAAAAAAAGAAAAATGAAGTTGAAATCTGTCCTTGTTTATTTTAATGTTTGGAATGCTTTCGAGGTGATTTATGCCCCCGCATCAATGTATTTCTCTCTGTCTCTCTCTTTCTTCCCTCCTTTTTTTTTTTTTTTAACAGAAAAAAAAAATAAAATAAAAATTGGGGGAGTTAATTGGATTTCCAGGCTTCACAGCCAGACACTGTAATTGATCTCTGAAGAGATGGATTTGTTGGTTAGCTGGGCATGAATCTGATAGAACAAGCAGGAAGGAATGAAAAATTCCCCCCTGCCAAAAGAGCCAAAGAGGGGCAATACTGGCAGAGACCCCCGGCACTTGCCTTCACCAAGACACGGGATATTCCCTGCCTTCCCTTCCCCTCCCCATTTTTGTTCTGCCTTGCAAGGCCATTATTTTCAAAGCATGGCTGCATCAACCAAGGCCCCCTGAATCTGCAGCTCCTAGCACCCGAGAATCCCCCAGCAAGCACCACGCCTCATCGCAGCCCCCAAAAGTGAGTCCTTCACCCCCAAAGCTCTGTCACCCACCTCTGTCTGTCCCAAAATGCGGGTGCCATCTTCAGTCCCCTTGAGTTTCTTGTCGCAGCAGGCTGGTTTGCTCTGTGAAGAGAGGAGGCACTGAGCTGGGGGAAAGGGGCAGGATGCCCCCCACTGCCCATAGCTACATTTCCCATTTCACCCAGGCTGCTGTGCTGTAGGGTACCTTGCTCACCCCGTCACGGTGCATGCTCTCTGCTGCCTGTTCCCACAGCAGATGGCAAGCGGCTGGTCCCGACAGACTGCAGCAGGCTCCGGCAGCGCCCGCAGGGAATCCAGCTTTGCACAGATCTCTGCAGGTGAGTCCACATGGGAACATGGCACAAAACGAGCACAGGAGCAAACTTCAGGTGGTTTAGCATCACCCGCCAGCTGGGTGGGTGAGAAAGGCGTTTGTGGGAGCGTGCTGACACAGGGCAAGCACTGCTAACCCAGGCAGGGCAGCCTCCTCCCGTACCCATGCACTCCAAGCCCCAGGTGACCGAAAGACCTTTGTTATCTGGGAGAGTGCCACATGCCAGGGAGAAAGCTCCCTGCAAAATTTGTCTCTTCAGCACAAGACTCAGCTCATTCCTCTTTTTGTTGTGCATTTTTCCAGAATCCCATTCCACTGGCACAGCTCAAAAGGAACAAGGAAAACTCATCTGCCTTTCTGAGCCAGAGACTCCCTCTCCCCCTTGCGGGTAACCCAAAGGAAGGTATTACGTTCCCATTCACCTGCCAGCTCGCCCAGGAGACGAGGAATTTCAGTCCTTTTATCTGTTACAGGCTTGTCTGAAATGCCTGGCATAACCTGTGCCTGTGCTAGTTAGGCTGTGCTGATGTTTCGCTGTTCAGAAGCAACCCTATAATAATTGACCCGGCTTTTCTGTGCTGCTGACACCACCTGGCATGGCCTCGCAGAAGGAAACACTGCGCTTGCACAATGCATAATTAAACTATGGAGCTAACTTCCACGGGAAGTTGTCGTGGCCAAGAATTTGTGACATTTTGGAAAGGAAGCAGGCATGTATACGGATAACAAGAATAGCCAGAGTTACGACAGCTAAACAGCAACATCCCTGTTGACAGTGCTAATGATATTGCAAGGCAGCCTCCCGTTATTAGGGGTGATATCTAACATGGGGCAGATCTGCCTTCTGCTGCACCTCCCTTTGCAGCATCTGCTTCTGGCCACCCCTCGGAGAGGACAGAGCTGCACGGACCCAATCCCATGCATGCAATTCCCCTCTTCTAGTTTTTTTTTTCTAACACGTTTCAAAAATATTGTACGGTTTTATTTTGCTGTTGCTTGCACTGGATATAAAACTCTGCGCAACAGCAGCTTTCCAGAATTGTAAACCTGGTTTATGCTCAGGAATATTGTTCTGTGCAGGTGCAAGGTATCACTCACTCCCAAGCACTGCAGCTACTACAGACTGTGACAAGGAAGCTGCTCACAAATGGTCACGCAAAGGAAAACATCTGTTACAAACTAGCAGGTACACAGATCATCTGCAAATTGCACAGCTTGTGCCTGATTTTTCCCTTGCTTTGTTTAGCAACTTGCGGGGCTGCCACGCAGGATTTGGGACCCCCATGGTGCAGAGAGGCAGACGACGGGTGCTGCTGGCAACGCAGAATCCGGCCCGGCACCCACCTGGTCCTGCAGAAGGCATAGGTCGTGCCACAGGCGTTATTTAACCCAGGTGCTCCTTGCTTGGCCACACACCCCTGCGGGAAGCAGAGAAGACAAGGCAGGGCAGCGCAGGGCAGGTCCCACCCAGCCTCGGGAAGCCTGGGTGGCAGGGCTTTGAGGGTATTAGGTTCAGAAATGGACGCGGGCTGGGTTGCCTCTGTTTCATTCCCGTGGCACTGCTTTTTATCGTTATTACTCCAGAAGGGCAGGTTGTGCTTCAGCAGGCAGCGTCCCTTTCCCTTCAGCCAGCTCTCTGCCCCACACATACCTGCTTGCCCCCTGCACAGGCTCCGTGGGCTGGCAGTGATTTCTTTTTTCCTTTTTTTTTTTTTTTTTTTTTTTTTTTTTTTTTGCCTCCACCTCGCACACAAAAGATTTCCTGATCTCAGCTGGACCTTTACATCTGCTTTGTGTTACAGGGCTTAGATCAGGAAACAGAAGGATTCTGTTTCCATCAGGCAGGATCTCTGGTTGATCTCCAGCCAGCCTCAGGACTCAGCTGCGGTTCCCAGCATCGCATGCAATGGTTAGAAAGGAGGATCCTCGTGTGCCTCATGGCACTGCCCTCCCGATTGTCTGCTGCCAGCACTCCCACCTGGGTAGGGCTCAACCATCTCAGGCACAGCCCGCAGCTCTGGATGTGTCCGAAACCTCTCCACCTGCTCAGCCTTGCCCAGGCTCCGCTGGGCATCCATTGAAATTTCCATCCATTGAAATCCTTCTCTCCTCCACCAGAGTGCCAAGGGTTCCATTTCACATCTTTTTCTTTTAAAACACAATTTAACAATATTTACATGATCTTTGCTCCTTGAGTAAAGCAAAGGGGGGCAGGAGGAGGGAACCCATCCCTGGCTGCACACTGCCATCACCTGCTTTGAACCACACGATCCTGGAGCTCCTGCTCCCCTCGGTCAGATGCATCAACACCTTTGGCACGCGATTTATCATGTCAGAGGAGTTCACCACTTCTGGCACAGAGCAACAAGACTTATTAAGTCCTGGACACACGCCTTAGCAATCGATGGGAATTTCAACTGTGACTTCATTGTGAAAGGGATCAAACCTTTTAAAATCCCATTCCTCAAACAGAGTGGTCTCGCATCCTGCAGAAGCCCCGTGTAAACACTGGGGCCTCATAAGTACCTGTGTGTGCTTCGGGGGGACAAGGGTCACTGCACACAGCCTGGCGAGACCCCGTGTGAAGCACCACGCAATCCTTGTCACCCAAAATTGGGGTCAAGGATGGCGAGCTCAGGCTGGAACTGGCTCAGAGGAAGGCTATCTGCAGCATCGGAGCAAAGGTGGCCTTTTTACAAGAGTCAGCTGCTGGGAGGCCCTGACTTGTTAGTTTAAGAAAATGAAGGTGGAGAGGTGATAAAATTGTTCTCTCTTCATGTATCGGGAGGTTTAACATGAAGGAAGAGAAAGTGCTATTTAAGGTGAAAGGACAACATCAGCAAAAGGTCACAAACCATCCATGAATAAATTTAGGTGAGAAACTAGAATAAGGCTTTTCACTGTCCAAACAATTAGGAGGAAAGCCAGTGCAATAAGAAAGGTGTTTTTTTTTCTTTTTCAGCCTAAGAAAGGGAAGAGAAGCTTGGTTGTCTGCAATAGCAGGGAGCGGGATGCAATGGCTTGGAGGTAGCACAAAAACAGTGTTTTTAAAGGAGCATAACTGCAGCCATGCAGACCGAGGCTGGTGGAGAGGCGAGGTGTGCAGGGAGAGACAATCCATTTGTACAAGGTCAACTGATTTAATTGGAAAAACGTGACAAGTTTCAGGCTTGGGCCTGACACAGGGCAGTAAAAAATCAAGGTAAATATAAATCAAAAGACTGTGAGAGTGCACAGAGGCCAGCTGGCCAGCCCAAAGGCTGCATCCAGCCCCACCACTGAGCGCTGGGGGAAGAGAGGGCAGCCAGAGCAAGCACGAGCAGAAACTCCCCAGTGCCGAGCCAGCACTGGCTGTCCTGTAGCAGCCCACACGGAAATCCATATGGAAAATCATTAAACAATTACAACCTCTATCGGAAGAAGATCATCCTTGGAAGACACTTCTCCAGAAACCTCTGTTTGCCGCTTTCAGATAAGCCCCTGCCCCATGGGAACAAGGGCCAGAACACATTTCACAGATCAGCAAACACTAAACAAAGAGACCAAAGCAAACTGGGGGAGCAAGACAAGCCAACGCCACCCCACCACCTCCAGCTCCATGCGTCCTCACGGGCTGGTAGTCGGTCATGCCGAAACACCGACCCGTGGGCATGGCCCCAGCCACGCAGCCACCCCAGCGAGCCCGGGGCCACGTGCTGCTTCCAGCAAAGGAAGGTTTTCCATAAAATAACCGCTCGGCGCCAGCTCAGCGGTCTGGGAGAGGAAACGATCCGCCTGAAAAAATTACCCAGCCAAAAAAGTAAGGTCTAATGCGCTGGCTGATTTAGCACACAATTTTATCACTCCCTACAGACAGAAGCCTCTCTTATTTGGAAGGTGCTTAAGCACCTGATTTCGGTTAGGCCTAAATACCTCTCAAAGAGCTGGCCCTTCATGCAGAACCAAGATAATCTTTGAAGACACAGCAACTCACCCGGCTTTGCTAAATCAATCTCACTGTTATTTTATTCAGCGTAAAAAAAAGTTCCCAGGGATCACATTTCTACCAGAACTTGTTAACAATTTATAACTATCACCTTAATCATTAAAAACAAACAATGGGAAAGAAAAAATCATTAAATTAATCCCTGATCTGGAATCCCAGAAGAGAAAATGAATTATTTTTCAAGACTGTAAGAATTAGAGGCCAACCTTCCAGATCGTGTAAAAACACGAAGAGCAAGTGTATGCATACTCTGCCAGACAGCATCTAAGGCTGCTGGAGGAAGGCTTTTTTTTTTTTTTTTGTATTGCTTTGAAGCTCTTTGCTGTCATTCTCCAAGGAGCCTGGCAACCACATTGTGATAGAGCAAGGATGAGCCTTTTAAGCTTTCAGAGTTATTTCCGAAAGAGCACGGGCTGAGCTGAGCATTGCAGCTGATGTTCGGGAGCTCCTGGCTGTAGTGTGCTGAGTTCAGCCTGGGCATGGCGAGCAGAAGCACCGCTGGAACTGGAACCACAACCTGCCACCCCTGGGCTTCTGGGGGGTTCCTAGGGAGAGCTGCCTCCCCTGCCTCCCTGTGTCCCAGATGAGCAGGCTCCAGCTCCTCAACAAACTCAAAAATTAAGGCAGCAAGACCTGTAGGAAACATTAGGGGCTTTTATTAGACCAGCTGATAGAGACAAAAAACTAGGACTTACCTTGGATGCGTGCTTTACGCCCATCTCATGAGATGCCAAGACAGCTTGTCAGGTGTGGGCTTTCTTTTTCTTTTTCCCATTTGTACTAATAAATGCATTAACTAACCTACAAAAGCCATAGATCACTACAGTTATAACCTTACCACTGCTACAAATAAATAGCTACGTTAAACAGAGACAAAAAAGTGGAGGGACAGGCAGGGGAAGCACTTCCACTGCCTTACACAGGGAAGGCAGCAACAGGCCTGGCCATGAGACCCCAGGCATGGGCTTGCCAGCACCCAGCTTGCTGCCCGTGCACCCATGAGTAATTAATTGAGGGTGATAATGAGAAGGGATGGACTGAGGCAGGTATGCAGGCTGGGGCAAGAGAACACGCTCCCCAGCTAACTGCTCGCATGCAGTGCTGAACTTAGATGCTGCATGGTGAGGCTTGGAAAATTCATGTTTTTCCCCCCATTTAGCTGAAGGAAGATCCCTCTCCTTCGGCACGGCGATGCGCATGGCTGAGCACAGCACCCAACAGAGGGCACTGACACGCTGACCGTGCCACCCACCTCTCTGGCCATCCCCACCAGCCCCAGCTTCTCCTCCCCGCCACACCAGCGCTGACCTCCCCACTATCGAGCTCCCCATCACGCTCCTGGTGGGGCTGCCACGTCCCCACCCAACACAAATCAACGGGGCCATCACCTCCGCGGGGCGAGGACGGGAAGCGAGCGTCCCAGCACGGTGCCAAGGCGACTTCCTCACCCTGCTGCCGCGGCTCGGGCAGGCGGCCGCGAGGAAAGCTGGTGGAAAAACCTGGGCAGGGGGGGCGGGAAATGGGGGCCTTCACTTTTCAGGCTGTTAACTGTAATTAGCCTGGTTTCTGAGATGTAATTATCTTGCAATCTCAAAGCAAACACCCCGGAGGAAATTGCACAGTTAAAGACAGCATGGCATTAAAAATAAATTATGAGAGTCCTGCCCGCTATTGCTATGGATCTGTCAGCATTTTCACTCTAAAAGCCCCTGCTTGGGGGAGCTGCAATCACCCAGCTGTGACTTTCCATGCCAAACTGTCTGCCTAGATGTAGGATTGCGCCGCATCCCTGTTATGATGCAGAAATTAAAAACAATAACCCCCCTGATCAGGAGGCATTCAGCTTTGTCACAGTCCAATTACAAAATCACTGCACTTTGGGGGTGGGGAGGTTGTTTTGTTTTGTTTTGTTTTCCCAGAGGAATTAAATTCCACGGGCTATTTAATACAGTGCACGAACAAAGCGTGGTAGGTGTTTGGAAACAAGTCAGATGCTAACAGATCACAATATTCCTTCCTCTCGCAGAAAGAGCTCCCGAGCCTGCTCTCCGCTGCCCTTTTTGTTGCTGCGTGAGCGCCTTCCAAAATTAGGACCGTGCTTCACACCCAAATTGCCATGGCAGGGATTCAGCCCAGGAGGTGGAGGAACCCGACTACTACAGTGGGGAGCAGGATCTCCCCAGCAGCTCGGGGCTCATCCCTTGCTTGGGTCACTCCCTTGCTCAGCCCAGCCTGCAGGGCGTTGCTTGGCCTCTTGCTCCATGGAGGTCACCGCTCTGTGATGCCTGGCTGGGGAGCAGAGGCAGGAAGGAAGGGGGAACTGGCTGGGAAGCAGGGCCAAGTTCCTCATGCAGCTACAGAGCGTGAAATAAGGCTGCCAGAGAGGAGATGCAGCTCACTGTTGGCTTATTTTTAATTTTGGAGCATCTTTTCCATCCACTGCTACTAGATGACATCAGCCCCAACTCAGGCTTGCCCTGAAGCCAGCAGAGCTGTATAATGGTTTAGGTCAGCAGAAGACAATACCAACATCATCCCAAAGGGCCTTCCCTCATGGCATCCTCTCCCGCGGGCAAAGTTTCAGATCACAGCAAGGTGCAGGTGATCACAAGGGACCATGTGCCCCAGCCAACCCGCGCTCTGCCACATGGAGAGAACCCGGAGGGAAGTGGTACCTGAATAAGGCTGTAAGAGACACTAAAATCCCCCCTCAACATCTGCAGAGCACTGGGACTTGCCACCATCTCCAAACCATCATGCTCATTACACAAAGCACCACTTCTCTCATTCTGCCATAGCTAAGGTGGACAAGGAACACCCAGAAATGTGCCGAACCCTGGCACAATGTTCAAGATGGAGAAGAGAAGATCCAAAAGATCATTGCCTTGCCTTCCATCAGAAATACAGCTTCCCTGAGGACTCCTGCAAATGGGCTTTCTCCAGAGCCCTGCCCGCTGCTGTGGATAATTAGCGGGTGCTTCTTGAGTACGAGACGCAACCACCGCGGGGCTTCACGCAGCTCTAGCAGCGCTGAGCCCCACTTAGCTAAATTCTCATACTTCTTACGGTACGAATCAATCCCACCGTCTCTCCTCTCCACATATCTCGTCACTCACAGGATGCAAAAGAAGAAGTCTGGAGAGCCCATTAAAAGCCACTCGACTGGAAAATAGTTTCTGGCCTAATTCTAGCACCAGGGTCTTAGCTGGGGAGAGAAATCTGACAGCAAGAGTGTGTCTGCGGGGAGGAGGAGGCAGAGCTGTTAACTACTTCACCAATCTAACGTATAGCACTCTCCAAGAGTAATTAATAATTAATATTCGTAGCCTGCTTAAATCTGTTGACTCTGTAAACCGCTGCCTCTCACTTAGAGGACTCTCGGCATGCTGAGACAAACTGAAGAACATCCCCCATGGAGAGGCTCAGCATAAACAAGAGCAATGGCAACTCCCAGCTACTCATCCCTAGTTTTAATCCCTCTGCTTCTCTTGTCCTCTTTATCTTGTTTAATTAAGCATAATGCCTTAGGAGCAGCTCTTACAGAGGCGGATGGAGAGTCCAGGATGAGAAGACCTGGGTCTCCGGTCACTGCGAGGCTGCTACCAGTGCTCTAACTGGAGCAGTAAGGCCCTGGGTTAGCAGGGGACGCTGAAGTCACCAAGCTCCATCCCCTTTAGAGGGTGTGTTCAGTGCTCCTAAGCCACAGGCCATGCACTGCATGCAGGAGCGAAGCCGTGCAGCACAGCACTGGAGGCTCTGGAGCACTCGTTCCAACCAATCCTTTCTGCAGTGTTGCCCCTAATCCACTTTGTCCTCATTCAAAGCCACAGATGTAAATCAGTTTCTCCGGCTCCCATCTTAATCTGAGTTTCAGCCATCAAAAGACGCCTGACATTGACACGCAGTGGTTGCAGTAGCTGTAGGGTCTGGGTCATACCAGTTGCAAGTCAGCAGCAGGCTAACAAAACCAACCCATGAGTATCGGTAACCCCGTATAGGTCACACACATTGAAAGGGAGGTGGAATAGAGCAGAACAGGTTTCTTTGGTGGCAATCCGCACTACTGACGAACCTGATGTTCTACATAATGTCATCTACATGTCTTCTACATTATGTCATAAACTAGAAGGGCTTGAAGTTTTGGACCAAGAAATAGGCACCTTTGAGAATATATGCTATAGGATCACCGAAACTGCTCAAATTTTGTCTCAGTTCATCATCTCAGGGGCCAAGCTGACTTCCACTGAAATCATAGATCACTGTTTCTTTTGACTTTACACAAGACTTGAATGCCACCCTTAGTATCTTTTAATATCACATGTTGGGGTTTACAGAATGTACACATGCATGACTTGTTCTGTCACAGATCTGAGTCATTCATTATACGCGTATATTACTTGCTCTGCTGTATTCCTGGTTTGGTAGAACGTGAAAAGTTCTCTTTTCATTATAAGTAACATTATTCTATCAACTGTGTTATGTTTAATCACAGTTATGGTTTACTCTGGTGATAGTTTTCTAAGATACAGGAAATAGTTTAAATCGGTAAAGTAGAAAATGACATGAGTGACTTACTTTCCACATAAACTCCAAACTCTGTTTAGTTAATCAGTATTCAACAAATACAATTCTATTGAAATTTGCTTTTCTTTCAAGAGTGCAATGGAAAAAGGACTGCTAGCTAGCATTCAGATGTGAGCACACCTAAAAATACCATTATCAGGAAACAATTATACAACTTTCCCTGAATTGATAATTTGCATTTAGAAAGGAGGAAAATATGCCCATAATTATTTTTCTGTTGCTTGCTATAAAAGCTAAGGACAGACAGTGTGATTCTGTGGCTAATAAATACTGAGGGTATGGTTGTCCTGCAAAGTGGGTTTTTAGTGAGAAACCAAGCCGTGTGAGGACGGACCATGGGAGAACATTGCAATTTTTGCACTGTGGCCCAAAAGATCAGTATACTTGGGGAAAAAAAAAAAAAAATCATCTTTCTTGCTATTTGCCTCTCTGTGTTTGTGCATATTGTCTTTACACTCTAAGCAAATAAGACCTTTCCTCTGGAGTCTCATAGTAAGCTATATAAGCAACAGTTCTGGTTTTGCCAAGATTTCAAAATACAAAGGAAAATTTTAAAAGACTGTTTTACTCTTTTTAGTAAAAAGGAAAAAAATCTTTTGGCTTTGAATGAAACACATTACTCAACTTAATACCAAAATGCTTCATTTGGTCACCTAGCTTCTGTAAACATTTTTGTCAGGTTTCATAAAAAGGTACATGAGATTTGAAACTTGAAGTTCTCCATTTTAATTAAAATACATAATGGAAGGCTTCAAGGTCAAACAGGATCTTTTTGGTTAAAAAACCCTTCCTCTTTCCTTCCCTGAAATGGGCAAAATCCAAACAAATTCCTGAATGTTTCAGGGTTGTCAAATTCTTGGGAGGGAGCCCACAGAAGAAGTGCTCACATTGAAAAATGCAACCCCACCCCCACCCCCCCCCAACCTATTTTGAGTTTTTCAGAGTAGACCCAGCACCACCCAAATATCTGCTGGGGGATCCTACTGCTAGTGGGACAGGAGCCTGGAGTTGCCTTCCTTGCATAGGCAGTGGCACTGCACAGCGCTGGGCCCACCTTAGAGCAGCTGACTGCTGTCAGCTTAATTCCAGCCTTTCCTCCCTCACCTGCAAGATCCATTGCCAGAGCAAAAGCATCTCTTCCCATCCAGGCAACGTGCACTTACAGGGAGAGCTGCTGGACTGTAATGCCAGGAGCAGGCCGAAGACACACCAAAGGCCAAGGAAGCGCAGGAAATGGCCGCCTTTCCTCTCATTCCTGCTGATGTTGCCATTAGCAGCTTCCCAGCGCTCACCGCTGCTAATCTCGACACCCACCAGCACTCCCTCACACCAATTCTTCTTCACATAATCTCCATTCCCCCTCTGCCCCCTCAGGTCCAAACCTACTGAGAACAACAATGTTCCCCTGCAAGAGAGATGGAGCAAGCAGGGTTGGAGAGCGCAAGACTCCTTCTGAGAGCAGGCCCACAGCCGGCAGCTCCGGACAACAACATCCATTTTGCTAATGACTGGAATAATGATGGCATTCTTGTTAGTAACAGTGGAGATAACAAGGCAAACACTAGTCGTAATTATTGTAAAATGTGCAGAAGGCAATTTAGAATAATAAATGTTTCAAATGCAGAGAGCACACGCGCACACAAAAGAGCTCGCCGTTAGCTGGAGCGCTCCATCTGCGGCGTACAAGGGCCCTCCTGATTGCATTGTCGGGAGGAAGGAGTCCTCCTGCGGGCTCAAATTTAGCACTGCCATGTCCCCTGCCCCACCGGGGTAAGTGGCACGGGATCCTCCACTTGCCGAGCCATGAGGGTCTCCTGCTGGCTTTTGGGCTGAAACAACAAATAAGGGCTGCGAGGACCTTTCTTCACCATGGAGGATGGTAACTGATTCCCAGGCATGGGTCTCTCCTAGTCGTAACCCAAGTCAGCATCTGCAGTGCAACGTCAATCAAGGGCAGCAGCGAGAGATGAGGGGCTGGAAATGGACCCAAGGGAGGAGAAGGGTGGGGTTAAGAAGTGGGGCCCAGAGGATGAGCGAAGGGGAAGAGGAAGGCCAAGGAGAAGAAAAGGGCGCCTGGGAGACTCTCGTTTGAAAAGCTGAAGAATGCCTGCCAAAGCAAACAGTTGGACATGCAGGGCTCTACATGTCTCTGGTTAATTTTGACCATCTGGCATTTATTGCAATTGCCTCCCTTTGTGTTTTCTACGATGAAATGGTTTTGTGTTCCTGCTTTCTCTCCCTCCTTTCTCCTCTCCCTCAATCTGATGCGTAGCTTCTGTCCCTCCTCTCAGCTCACTCCACCCCGTGGCAACTCTCAAGGAAGGAACACGAGTGTGCAAATGGCTCCAAGGAGGGTGCCAGGGATGGGGAGCAAGCATGTGCATGGGTACCGCCACAGTCCAGAGGCTCTGCCCTCCCCACTGCCCCTCATCTGACACACCTCGCCTTCCCTGACTCCCAGCCCGTGACAGCAGCAGACTGCGGGGAAAGATGGGAAGAGAAATCAGAGCAGAAGTTAAGGAGAAGAACTCAGCCACAGAAACGCAGGGAGAAAAACCTTTAAAAAGGTGCAATTGCGAAGTGATGACAGGCTGGTGGAACGGAATTAGCAGAGAGGAGGGCTCTGCTCACGTCCTCCTCTCCCTGAACTGCCGTGCGATTAGAATTAAGCCAAAAGAGCCATTTTGTAGGGAACTTTGCGACGAGCTGCACTCCTGCAACAAGGGCGAGAGACTGAAATAATCAACATTTTCAGCAGAACAGAAATGCAAACATCCAAATTCCCATTTTAACTGACAGTTGCAGTCAAAATACATCACCCTGACGTTCTTCAATCAGAAAAGATTCACAGACTCCCTTTCCTGCATAGCCTGCAGTCCCAGGCCAGATTATACAGCCACGATTCCATAGCTTAGATTTCCTGTAAGTCAGCAAGAAACCTCTTAGGCTCCTGGTGCACTCCCCAGCCTGTTGCAAGGGGGGGCTTCTCCCAGTAGTTCCTCAGGAAGCCAGTGAAAAGAATGAAAGCAGCACAACCGCGAGGCTGGGGGAACGTCTCCTTTGCTCTGTGCAGACTCCGAACACTTCAGAGACAGAACATCACTCGTCGCAAGACCTTCTTCTTCCCCAGCGAAATCGCCCCGCTGCTTTGCATGCTGCTGCGGTGTTCCCAGTGGCCACGACGCTTGCAGGCTCGCACACGCTCCAAGGACTGCAGGCAGGAGCTCGGCGGCTCTGCTGGCACAAATTAGCGGAGCTGAAACTTTAGATCAGTGACAGAGAGTCTGCCTCCTGGGAGCAGTAAATTGCGATGCTGGTCCCCAAAGACCCTCCTTGCCATTAAGTGATTAATGAATTCATTAACACCTCTAAGAACACAGGAAATATGACACAGACAGCCTGCCTAGGCTTTGCAAAGGTTTTTTTCTTCCCTTTTAGGAACAGCAGAGAATAGTGACTAATTAAGCTATACGGCCCACGGCAGCACAACTACGTTTATCCAGTGGGGATGAGCGGAGAGGTGAAATCCTCCATCTCATGTTCCAATCAGCTTTCATTTGACCCATAATGAGATGCTAAAAGAAGGGGCTTATTGCTGTTATAAACCTTTCATTTGAAAGGATAAAAAAAAAAAAAAAAAAGAAAAGAAAAGAAAAGAAAAGAAAAAAAAAAGGACTTACTGTAATGGTTTTAAATGACTTTCCCAGCATTCCCAGTTCAAGAGTGGAATGAGCTTAGGGGATGGCTGGAGAAACCATCAAGGCTGGGAGAGGAGGAGGAATTGTGCAATGGTCTCTTCAAGACTTACAGTTCTCGAGAAAATTCTTCACTGTAAGAGTGGTGAGGCACTGGAATAGATTGCCAGGGTAAGTTGTGGATTCCCCATCCCTGGAGCTCTCCAAGGCCAGGCTGGATGGGACTTTGGCCAACCTGATCTAGTAGGTGGCATCACTGCCCGTGGCAGGAGGGCTGGAGCTAGATGATCTTTAGGGCTCCTTTCAACCTGAGCCATGCTATGATTCTATGACACAGAGGGCCTTAATTTTTGCCCCCTGTGTGACACAAGGCACGAGGTTACCTCCCACCATACGCTAGCAGGACCTCCCAGTGCTCCAGTTGCTACTACACAGCGGACGTGGCGATCCCTCCCTGTGCAGCGATGACAAGCGTCTCTCAGCCCACCAGCACCACGGATGGGTTTCCCAGCTCTGGGTTCCTGCTGAGCTGAGTTTCCCAGTGGTTTCACCCCACCAGCCATGGCCAGAGAGGTCCCACCAGCAGGCAGGTGGGGGAGATACCCCATGCAGGAAGGGACACCTTTGTTACCCATTCTGAGGGGACAAATCTTCATTTCTCTTGGGCTTGCTTGCACCCGTGGGCTCTACTGCTGCAGAGAAGATGGTATGCCACCAATCAGTACAGAAACGCTTCTCCATAACTCAAGTGGGACAACTCTCCTTCACCCCAAATGGCACAGAAGCACTGAAGCTGGCTTTTGGTGTGGCCTTCAGCATCCTGCAAGACCTGCCTTGGGATCACGGCCTTGGGCTGCATTACCCTTCGGCTCTGGCCAAGGGGACAAGTGGTGCTTGGTACCTAAGTATTTGTATATCTTCTACATAAACAGAGTGGTGGGGAGCCACCATGTCCTCCTGTTGTGGGCAGATATCGGGACATGGGGAAGTTTGAAATTGTGGAGAATCAGGCCCAAAAGACAACTCACTTTCAAAGACAGATAGTAAATTGGAGGGAGTTCAGAGAAAGCCACTAAGAAGATTAAAGGGCAGGAGGTATTGATTTACGTAGGAAGATCAAAAGAGCTATATTTGTATATAGTAGTTTAGCTAAGTGATGACTAAGTGTTTAAAGGGAAGAGTTTGAAGGACATAAACCGAGCGAGGGACCATTACGGTGAGCACAGTGAAGAGAGCTTAACAGGAGCATTAGAGTGAAAGAAAAGGAAGGAAAAAACAGGAAACCTCAGCTGCCTGCCTGCTTCTCTTGGCAGGGAGACGCTGACAGCACCGCTGACACTGAGATTTGGCAAACCAGCTTACCAAGGCATTTCAGGGCCTGCACCCCTTTTCCTTCCCCTCTGCAGCCGTGCCATGCCACAGCAGTCAGGAGCACACAGGAAGACTCTCAAGTGGGCTCCAACCACCACGGCACACTCAGCACCCTTCAGCTCGGTGATATTGGGGCACCTTGGACGAATTCTAAACCGTGGGAGCCCTGTGACTGCTCTAAGCCCAAGCAAACCAGAAACAAGGCCTAAATCCTATGTCCTAAATCCACTTCCAAGCACTCCACTGTCCTGCTCCATGCAAAACAAGGCCTACAGATTTCACCCCATCTTTAAACTTAAACACTGTTGGATCTGTTGCTTCTTGTCAAGAATTAGTGTCTGTAAAGCATTAACCCAAGTACGTCACAAAACCAAACCCATCCGCACGATCTGGTGAGATCCCAGCTGGCAGGGACCAGCTGCCCGACCCCGCTCCCTCACACTGCCCTCTCCTAACAGAGCTGTGCAGAATTTGCAGGGGTAGGGCTGGGACCACGGCCAGAATACCCAAAGCTGTTCTGTTCCTTGAGATTATTCAGATCCACGTGAGAAAAAGTCAGCTGAAGTGACTAAAAAGTGACCTACCTTGGCCTCCCTCTGTGGGCTCGAGCTGACAGATGTCTCAGCAGAGCTTCCAAGAAGAGCAAGGGCCAGGAGCATTCCAGAGAGCAGTGCCCTGGAAAGGCTCCATGGCGAGGATCATTCCTCCAGCAACGATCTCAGCAAACACGTCTTCCCCTTCCTGGGGGAATCTGACAGCAAGCCCCGTGCTGAAAAGGCACAAGGGTGTGCAGGACATGAGTCAGGGTGGACTTGGAGGCCAGATGTTTCATTGGCCATATACACAGCTGAATTTTTAAGCTACCTCATAGTCTGGTATCTGCTTACTGTGCTAAAGACTGCAGCTGCCCATTGTAGCAACACATAACTAACCCTTCAGAAAAAGCATTTCCTATCCTGACGGTGAGGAGAGGAGAAAGATAAGACAGACAAAGAGAATCTGATAAGACAGCATGATTGAATTGCTCTGCCATTGCCAGGGATATCCTGAAAACTTGATGGCCTCACTTCATAGTCCAAAAACACCAACAAAAAGCTTTTGCTCTCAGATCGGCAGGGTTCTCCAGGCAGTTTAGATCAATGCCAACACTCTGCTCCCTGTCCACACCATTTGGCATTTTATCTACCATTTGCTGGAGTGATACTCTTGGCTGCGAACATTTATAGACAGCAGAAAGCGAGGTCACGTAATGAGGACAGGGCAGGTTGCAGAGGAGGGTAAATGAGATCAGATACAAGGGGCAGGATTCATAGCCTGTTAGAGAACCACTAAATATATTTATATCTCCCTGACCTACCAGGTGCCAGTCTGCCCCAGTCGACGGCCCCTTGATCTGCGCGACCAAGCAGATCCAAGAGGATAAACCTCCCTACGTGGACGAAGCAGATGACGTGACACACGAGCAGATTTGTTCAGCGGTGTCCTCAGCCACAAGCTGGTCACCCCCAATCTACACCGCCTACTTACATTACTGCCGCGTGGAGAAATATGTTCTGATGCAACCAAATGCAAGAGGATGCCTCTGGGAACAACGCATGCAAATTACAGCTACTTACAATGGGAGAGATTACCTCAGAAAGCTCCAGCTCCACTGAGGACTGCAGATGCTTTCCATGGAATAAGTGAATATTCATCCAAGCAGGGACAGGAACCAGGTTTTCTCTGGCTATTTGCATCTGCTCCCTCTTTTACTCCCCATTTTGTCCCTCCTTAACTCCCTCTTTTATGCCCATTTGCATGATTCCTTATGAAAAAAAAACAACATGCCTGACTTTAACAGGAGTGTAGCACAGCTCTGCATTTTCAGAGATTTTCTAGGGGATATTGGGATGTTTTAGGCAGGAAAAACAACTGTGTCTACTTCAGCAACTTTGTGAACCACTTGTAGACAGAGAACATCAACATGTCCCCTCCCAGGAGAGCTGTGGGGCTGCGGGCAGGTGTGCCTGCTGGGGCAGGTTATCTGTAGGTTTGGGCTCAATGCCAGTGCTCAACCCTACAAATGCATGAAATAACTCGTGGTTGGCCGAGCAGGATGCATGGGTGACAGCAACACCCCATGGGGCTGCTGCAGAGCCACCACGTGCAAGCAACTAACCTTCTCCCACCGCCCGCTCCCTCCCAGCCTGTGCCCCAACCCTCAGTGTCCAGCCGGGGGAGACACCAGGGTGCTTTCAACTGGAGGCCACCCAAATATCTGAGCGCTGGGAAAACTAACAGCTGAGCTCGGTTTGTTGGAGAGATGCTCAGGAGATCACAAGACGTCTAGACATCTTAAACATGGAAATATCCTAGGTTGCAGGGGACTTCCCAGGCCTTTGACAAAGACGTGGTGAGATTCAATGCCTGGAAGTTCAGGTCAGATAAATCCCAAAATACAGTGCAATTTCCCAGCAGGGAGGGAACCCGAACACTGGAGGACCTTGCAAGGGTGTGGGCCCTCATCATTTGACATCTTTAGCATAGCAGGAGATAACTTCTGAGCAGCTAGGCTTTATTCCAGCTCCTGGGAGAAAGCCCAAGCCCCAGGGTTAGAGGGAGTGGGACTGGATGGCGCAGGGCATACCTCCGGCCCGGGAACCCATGCGTGCCCCTGCTCGCTTCCTCCTTCCTCGAGCCATGACAAGAACAGGAAATTCTGTGTTATCTGCTGCTAAGCCTCGAAGCTTCTCACTGAGCCGATAGCTGTAGTCAAATCTCATCCTCCAAGACCTCAGCTGGTCGCCTGCAGACATAAGGAAGGAATTCATTTATTTATTTTCCTCCTCCAGGCTCATTTGGCCAGACAGATGTTGCTTGCTATTTCTTTTTCTCACCTTCCTCTGAATCATCCAAGATGAGCTGTGGCTGGAGGCACCACGTTGGAGGCGCAGCGCAGCCTTTGCAGAACTGGGGAGCGGGGCCACTGGTTTTGCTCTATCATGAACCCTTTTGGGTTCAGTCTGTGTCATCTCAGCTGGTCAGTTACCCAGACAGCACCTGCTCTAACGAGGGTCATAAACACAGAGCTTCAATAACTCTGCTGTGCAGAGTTCTCTACCTCCACAGCAGACACTCTGGGCTCTCAACCGGTATCACCATTCAGAGCCTTACAAGACTGCCTAAATGAACATATGTAAGAGTTTAAATTCAATCTCCCCCTTGCCCTGTCCCCTGAAAAACTCTTTGATGACTAAGCCCATTAGGGGAGGAGCAAATCTCCTCGAAATGTCACAGCTGATCTCCACTGACCTTATCAAAGTGCAGGATCAATACACTGACCCATCAGAGTTGGAAACCTTAAGCAAAAGCCGAAGAGAAGCAATTAAAGCAGAATTTCAAGAATGGAAGTGGGGGTGTCGAAATATCCCATTACGCCTCTGGAAACTGAAAAACAAATGAGCCAAAAGTAACCACGATGCTTAGAATTATCATATACATAATTAGTATTTGATAAAGCAGGAAATACAACATAACATCCATTCATCATGCTGACAGCTGCAAAACCATATTGCAAAGCTCTTAAGTGTTAGTGGTGTGTGTATGCACCTTCAGCACTGCAGGTACGAGTCCAAATTGCCAGCTCAGGAGCTAATGTGCCACAGGCTCCATGGGATCCTAGCAGCAAATCCCAGGGAACGGTTCTGTGATGCATGGCAGCAGCGTAAGGAGGTGACTGTGTGCTCTTAACTACCAGGATCTGAAGGATGGAGAGGCATCAATAAAAGTCCAGGGGCAGCTGACAGCTTCCAGTGAGCCTGTGACTTCAGGCACCCTAGAAAATCAAACCAATATTCCTGATATTTGGAACTTAACCACCTACACCATCACATTACTGCAACCGTCTCTACTGTGGCTTTGAACCCCAGGCCATTTGCAACCATTTCAAACGACTCCTTGTCCCATCCTGGGAGATGGCAAGGCAATTTAAAAACTGCTTTGGAGGAAGAGTATGGGCAGGGGACAAGGAATGGCCCTGAGTGCCCAAACAGATGCAGCCAAAGGGCTTGTGGTAAGAAAAGTGACAACTCCTCAGCCCCTACAAACCATAAAGCAGCACCTCCACCACCCGATACCTGGTCCCCATCAGATGGTAAAGTATTTTCATATAAACTTATTGTTAACCTTTCTGCAAAGAGGGCTATTAGCAAGGCAGGTGGCCTGGGGTGCAAAAAGAAGCTATGGTTCTATGGGGAAGAGTTGAAAGGAGCACATGATAGAGAAAACACGAAATGAAAACAAAGAGAAGGGGATTAAAATGTAAATAACTTTTAGGAATGGTGGCTTTCTCTGGAGCAACTCACTCTACAAGGGCTTTGCCCAAAAGAAAAAGATATTTTTTCTTCCCTTCAGAGATATTTTTAAGATTTACCTTCCCTCACAAGGGTGAACACGAGCCATTTGCAAGCAACTCAGCGACAAAACAGGAAGAAATCAACTTCTGCCTCGCCTGACAAAAATAGCCAAGTGCCTGATGGCGAAACCACACACCCATCATTGCTCTGCCTGGCTGGAACGGAGCTGTGCCTGAGCCTCCCGCTGCGCTCGCTGATCGCCAGATTGTTAACTTGGGATAGGTCCCTGTCCATCTGTCGAGTCAGAATTATTCCACTTGAAAAACACTGAAAATTCCCTGGAGTACAGCAACTGTCCCAATTCCCACGTGAGCTGTCTCACCGTCAGCCACAAGCTGCTCGGAGGAACGGGAAGGGCTCTGGTCCCAGCCCTTCCTCCTTCCCTCCCTTTTTATTTGCAGATAAAACCGCCACCTCTACTTTCAACAACATTCTTGTCTGGCCAGCCCTTCATAAATTCACCTCATTAACCCGACGTAAGGCAGGATCCTCAGCTTTCTGGCTGCTGACCTTTTTCCGGGACAGAAAGAGCACTGTGAACATTCTCTTTTGGAGGGAATCAAAAAAAGCAATCAAAGAAAGTCTCTGCTGTCCTGGGAAATTTTCTGTGCACTGGGAGTCTCATCAAACCAGGGGAAAGAAAGCAATAGCAAATTTAACAGTGCCATCCATAGCAGACACAGATGGCTGCAGTTCCTAAATAAGCATTACATTAGTACAAAGGAGAGAGAAAAAAAATTAAAGGGAGAAAGAAAAAATATAACAGCTGTATCTTAAGCCTGGGGGCTGATGCTAAATCTATGTTTGTAGATGCTCTCAGCACTGGCAATAAAAGTCAAGTTGCTCCTGCGTTAAAGGGGCACTGCCGAGTGCTTTACGTACAGCCCTCCTTCATTCGGTGAGCATCCCTCAGCTGCCCCACAGCCTGGGACCCGTGCAGGAATGGGAGGACGTGGGGGCAAAGGGAGAAAGCAGTGGGAAAAGCATTAATATTTAAAGCAGCATTTTGCACCACTCTGAATGGGGTGCTGTGATTAAAAAAAATCAATAGCCTGCAATGGCTTTCACTACACTGACAGAAAGATCATTTGCCCTCTCGTCACTGCTGTCAAGCTAAGACCGCGGCTAAAACAACTTCCCCAGTGCATGTCCTGTCGTTCTGCTCAGCAGGCAAAATGGAGGCGGATGAACTGGGGATCTCGACTAGAAATCCTGACTCCTCCGAAGCAGGGGATGCCACCGGTGCCCCAGGAGCTCAGGCGAGCATGGTGAGGTTCAGACAAAGCTCTGTTCTCAGCCCAGGGCTGTTGGGAGATTTTTCTCCATGATCTGGAAGGCAAAACATGAGCTTGCTGCCAGCAAAGATCACAGTTGACACAAATATTGGAGGAGCAGTAAATGATGACACGAGCGAGCTGGTTACAGTAGGCAGGCTGTGTTGGCAGATACACGGGCTGACTACAAATGGCCTTTCAAATATCCACATGCCAGGCTGGACCTGAGAAATAAAAACACAAACAAGTGCACTTACAAGGCATGCCACAGGCAACAGGCAGGTCGGGGAGAGCTGCTGGGTGCAAAGGGGTGACCCAGTTCCTGAAGGCCAGTGTACAAGGACGTGGTGGGCAAGGAGCCCCCTCCAATGCCCCAGGCCCGGACTACCTGGTCTCCGTGCTGCTGCACGTGTCCGAGCCACAGGGAATTCAGGCAAGTGCTTAAGAAAAGGGTTTTCCCAGCTGAGCATCTTTGTCCTCACGCAGCACCTGGGCAGCTCCCTAGCGATGCTCCAGCTCTTCGTGACTGGAGGCCACCTAAATAACTGAGAGGACCAGAACATCGAGCTCAAATGACACACGGATTGGCCTTCAGGGGAAGATGTTTCTTGTCATCTCGCACGTCGGTTGTTTCTCTCCTCTGCTTTCCAAAAGCAAGCAGTCAGCTTTCATTCCTGCTATTGTTCCCATTAGTCGATGACAAAGTGCAAAATTTCTCATCTCTGCCGCGTCAAAGCTGTGCTATCTTTCACCTCCTTCCCCTGAATTCCTTCCATCCGTTACTGAGATGGGTTCACACTGAGCCAGGGGAAGAAAGCCTGCAAAATCCAAGCACAGGGAAGAGACAGAACCTGCATTCCTGGAGGCACTGGAGTGTCTGCGAGCCAGGAGAGTACACCAGACAGCTCAAAGCCACACACATGCTTGGGCCTGGGCAACATTTTTTTATCCCATTCATTTCTTTTTTATCACACTGCATTATAACATTCACATTCTCTAAGATACTTGGGTGCTTCAGCAAGCCCTCGTTCACCTCCTTGACTACACCATTGCTCATGAATGTGTTTGGTGGGTTTTTTTGCTATCATCTTTCCTCTTTTTCTATGAAGTAGCTTTGCTGGTTAATTATCACCTTTGGGATGCCTCGTAGAGCACAAGCTTTGAGGCTGAGGAGTTGAAAGGATGACATCACACAAGCAGGCCAGGTTTGGCTGCTACTGCCAGAGCTGCCTGGGGATTTCCCGTCCGGAGCGTGCTGAGTTCTGGCAAAGGAAATGGTTCACCTGGACACGTCGGTATCAACACGCTCGTGATTCCAGACAAAAATCTGACCCAGGTGTTTTGATAACATCAAAACATTATGTTTCATTATTTTGAGGGCATGGAATAGTTTGATTTTCATTTTAAAACAAGTTTGCACTTGGAAGCTTTTTTTATATTCCAATTGCTTTTAAATGCCAAAAAAATCGACTCAAAATATGTAAACAATTTTTAAATGGTTTCACAGGGACATTTCAGAACAAAAAATACATTTAAATTAAACTCTGCAATTTTGCCATGAAATGGAAAATATGCTCCTTGCTCAGCTCCAGACATTAACATAGCACCTCGATGGGATTGAGTATGATTGAGGGAACCCACCCAGGCGCGACAGAGCCCTGGGCTTGTGTGGGCTGTGAGAGGGGACGTGAAAATGCAGGCTGAGCTGGGAGAGCAAAGAGGCAGAAGGACCAGCCGAGAGCAGCGCTGTCAGCCAGGGGAATGTGAATTTGTGACGCCAGGTAGGGTGTCTGCACGTAGGCCAGCTTTCAGAGCTCAGGGATGTGAATGGAAGAACCGCCAGAGAAGGAAATTTCAGAGCATGCATTTCAAGGGCATTCCACTGTAATATTTTTAATCCCATCAATTAGCTAAAAAAACAAAGAAGAAGAAAAAAAAAAAAAAAAAAGGAAGAAAAACACACATTTTCTTTCCCTCCATCCAAAGCAGACTTCCCATTGTGTCAGTGCAGAGTGGCACCGAGGAGCTCTTGGTGGCATCATGGTCTGCAAGCATCATCTTCATCAGCCCAAGCTGCTCTGAACTCTGATGGTCACCAGAGAAAGTGCATCAGTGCCTAGTGGATGGCTGGGATAAAAGGCATAGCCATGCTCTAAAGCACATTAATTGCTTATTAATTACCCCATTAATCACGGTGACACCTTTGTCTGCATTCCCAGAGGCACACTTGCAGTTAGCTGGGACTGTCACATTGCTTTGTGTAAACGGAGTGAGCTTTGCTCCCCTGCTCCAGACTCTCCTGGGTAAAGGGTAAAAAGAAAACAAAACAGAACAAAATAATTAACAGTAATAACAACAAATAGAAATCAACCCATGTGTTACAGAGTATCCCAAGAGCAGCAGGGCAGGTCCTGGTACAGCGCAGGCAGTAGGAAACATACCCTTCAGTGGCAATGGGCAGGGCAAGAAAATGCACGGCACAGAGGAACTGTATTGCAGCGATGTTCTGAAGTCCTCAAAGCTTGGGATTTAGGCAGCAGTTTGCAAATCCAACATCAGATCAGGCTGACCAGCAACGAACGGAGCAACCAGGATGCTGAGGAGACTCACCCAGGCTACATCCTCAGCAAGGGCAGCTCGCGGCGTCCTACCAAGACACGAGCAGGTCTGGCAGGAGAGGCCCTGCACAGCCAGAGCCAAGCAGAGCAGCTCGAGGAAAAAGACAGGGCTCAGGCATTGCTGCAAACGCCGCTCACCCTGGGCTGACAGCAGTGGAAAAGCCTCCTCTAAGGCCAGCCGGGCTGCCGGCTCATGGAGCACATCCAGGGCTTTGCTGCAGCTTCTTCCCACAGGCAACTGCAAGTTACCATTAAATCACAGAAAGCTGTAAACCAATCACCAGGGAAAATTTCTGTTCCATCACCGGTGCTTTTTCTTTATTTTATTATTTATAGCACACTCTGATTTCCAGCAACTTTTTTTATTATAAAAAAAAATTATTTTCTTTGTCTGAAAATTGATATAAAAAGAAATCCATCTCTCAGCCGTCATTTCTCTTAATGATGTTTACATCAGCAGATGGGGAAAAAATCACTTTTTAAACAGAATTTATTACCCGCTGACCCAAAGCTTTACCATACATCACTGTGGTTTCAGAAAGTTAGTTTCCACAGCAACATGATGTAACTCTCCAGCGTGTCTGCGAGCTGCCAGTGTTAACTCTTCCAGCCCTACTCCTGTGCTGCATCTTTTGTAAGAGGGTATCTTGGCCTTGTCGGCAGTCACTGGAAGAACTCAGAGTTGGTTAGAAGGGAAAGCTCAGGCACAGGAACGCTGTGCAGGTAGGGCCACATGAATTCCCTCATTTGGTGAGATACCAAGTCAGCTGCAAGCAAGTGTGAATGCCTGCAGGTGTCCCGAGCAGAGGGAGCAGCACTGGGCACAACCAGGATCCGCTGGGCACCAGCAGCACTGAAGGAAGGAGAAGGATGCCTGGAGATGCTGGCACAGGGTGCTGAAAGCGAGCACCATCATCTGCCCCACCAGCAGGAACCCAAGCCTCGTATCAGGTCCTCATCCGTCCCATCTGCTCCAGTGCTAAGCCAAGGCTGCTGAGGAAATCAGGAAGGGAAAAGCGATACAGGCATGGGGGCACTTCAGATGCAGCAAGAAGACCCTGGGGACTTCAAGTTAGATGGCCAAGTGGGCACAGCTTCACTTTAGACTTCAGAAATGGATGGTGAATTCCTCTGGGACTGAGGAACTAGGGTTTGTCTCTGGTCCCGTGTTTCCCTTCTTCACTGTGAAACTGCAGCTTGGTGTCGAAATTCCCAGAGACCAGACACGCTGGCTATCTGTCCACACGTACCCAAGCATCTCCTGAGGTCTGCCAGACAGCAGAGACCAGCAGGCCAAAGAGGATGAGCCCCAGGCAATACGCACCACCACCTAGTGGAAGGGATGGGCTCGGGCAGCACAAGGCGCCCCTCAGGTCTCTACTCTAAGATCCTCCAAGATCCATCCTTTGGTCCCACAGAAATGTCCAGGCTCCAGCCACAGGTGGCTTTAGCAAAAAGCTGGCTACTTAGCAATCAAGGCCAAGCTCCAATAGAGACAGTTGCACCTATCACTGCACTTATTGATTGCCGGGATGTTGATAAACAATTGATTTTTTTTTTCTGCAAATGTCACCTGGAAGAAGTTTTATACCTCTCTCTACAGGGAGCAAGCAATTGCAAGAGCCTAACAAACACACAAAGCACACTCCCTTCCGCTAGGACAGATAACTCCTGGCAGCAACAGTAGAGTAGCAGGAATAAGTTGCTTCTACTGGGATTTCAGTCCACTGTGGTGGGAGATGGGAAAAGCATTTACTCCAGTGTTCTGGCTCAGACACCAGAAAGTTACTTGCACACCTTGTAAAAGGAATTGAACATCTACAGGCCCTTGGTGTGAGCCAGGCTCAGAGCAGCACTGCCCCAACTGATGGGAGACGCTCGTCACATTTCGACGCATGCCTGTGGTGGACCACATGCTGCAGGGACGAATGCTGCAGGGGCTGTGGGAGGTGGCAATGCACGGAGACAAAGGGTGCAAGGCAGAGAGCAGCCCCTCATGAGCCATGTTCTAATGCTGGACACGAAGCTGTTGAGAAGAAAAAAACCACCAATGTCAAAATGAAGAGAGGACAATGCAGGCGGGATGTTTCTCCATGCATTAGCGGCCAAGGCAGCACAATTACAAATGAACGACTCAAACCAATTAGGCAATTAACCAAGGAGACAATCCCAAGGATGCCGACAAGGGTAACGTAAGCATCAGCATTCTCATGAGACAGCTGGGGAGAGGGAAAGGTTTGTGTTTTGCAGCTCTGGAGGGAGTTTACCAGCCCGGGCAGAGGCAGGTGCCCTCTCAGCACAGGCTCTGGCCACATGCCCTGAGGGCATCCCTCTTGCTTGGCTCCTCTGCCAGGCCAGGTTATGCCATGTTAGGGTTTGCATGAGCTGTTCCCCTTGGGAGCAGCATTTTCTCTGCACTAAACGTTACCAAAGGAGAGAGATCCATTACGTTTCTGCAGATGCAGCACTTCTGCAAAGAGGCGAGTACGGCAGCGTGCCACTTGGATGCTCTTTGGAGGACCACACAAAAATAAATAATAAACAAAAAAAGAGACCGTGCATTACTGTGAGCCCGTCTTACCTCTTCAGCCTCATTTCTGAGGGAAACACTTGCGCTGCACAGGAGTGTGGTGGTGTGCATCCCTGGTAACTTTTGAAGCGATTGGCTTATTTCAACCAAGATTGAATAGAGAGGTGACAGCATCAGGGATAATTATGTCCTTACAGATTTGGGAAAAACAGATGTTTAAAGAGAAGACAAACAAAATGCAAGTTACCTGGTTCTAAGAATACCTCAAAACTGATACTATAAATCATGTTAAAAACAGAGGGCTGTTTATATATCACCCTACCTTGAGAAAATTTTAATTAGCATTCACAAGAGGCACCAAAACCCTGCAGATGCACAGATATGCCGGAAACCAGACCTCGCCAGCCCTGATGTCCCCAGGAACCCTCAAGACCTTTGCTGGGTGAGTCTAAGGAACAGAAACACACCGATCTGTGTGCTGCACAGTCTGGTGCTCACACAGCCTCTGCCGTGGTCTCCAAAGGTGACAGCAGTTCCTCCGTAGCCCACCTTCTCTGCTTCTTACACCAGGAGAAAGCTCCCACAAGAGGGGACGATGCTCAGCCCCACAGAAGCACAACCACAACCAGACTGGCCGAGCAGCTCTGGGGAGGAAAGCTTGCCCCTTCTGTTCACTGCACAACCTTGTTTTAACAGTGAGCATCCAGCCACAGAGACTGAGGTCCCAGTGCTGTTGAGCCCGAGAAGGTCTAAACCCACATCTCCACATCACAGGCACTTCTCAGGCTTCCCAAAGCACAGAGCTCGCCCACACTCTCTTGGCCCTCTTGTCTTCCTCAGTACTACTGATAAAGGGCAGTCCCTGTCCTCTGTCTGAATAAAAGGATTTCTGGCACTTGGAACTGTTCTGCAAAAAAAGAGAGTCTGCCCCCAGAAGTACATTCCAATTGTTATATCAAATGTGTACTCATCAGTGCAATAATTAATTAGCAAATACGTCACGGCTTTGGGAAAGCTGACTCAGGAGGTTGTGACCATATGCAGCCAAAAACAATTACTCTGACTGAATCTGCCCTAAAAACGATTCAAGGTTCCTTTTCTGCATTTTATACAGCAGCCCATGCACAAGTTAGAGTCTCCAGTAAAGCTATTCTGTGCTAACCAGCGTGGTTCTGCCAAAAAAAATACCAGTCACATTTTCAGAGATATGAGCGGCACACCGATAGGGTTAGTATCATTATCAAAGATCAGACACAAGATTAGTATCATTATCAAAATCAGCCTACCAATGCCATTTCCTCCACTTATCTTAAAATCCTCGAGTCTATCAGAGGATGTTGACCTTTATATCAAAAAATGTCGAGCAGCCTATTTATCAGAAAGCTCCGAATTAGATGACCTGGAAGAAGAAAGCTTTTGCCGAAGCAAATCCCGCCCCTCCAGCAGGGAGGTGGTCTACGAGCTGCAAAATGCGCAGACAGGTTGGAGCCCGCGTCTCGGAAAGCCAGCTTCAGGCTCGCACAAAATAGTCTGCTTGATTGAAGGAGATGTACTAATCGATCGGGCAGCGCAGTCATGAGGTGTTGTACAATTCCTGCCGAGGACTGAGAGATCCATCCATCATCACAGCTGGCTGCGCCAGGCGGGAGCGGCGCGTGCGGGGCTTTAATTCCTCACCCTCTTGAACAGCACCAGCCCACAGCATGGACCAGGCTCATGGCTGGATTTGGGCAGGTGTCCCCACATCAGGCACAGTCCTTTCCTACAGCTTTCCATGTCTGCTGCCTGGGCCACACGAAAGCTCATCTCTCCGTTTCAATTGTGAGACATTGAGAAATGAACCTGGGAACACCTGCACATCCCACAACTCCTCCATTTCCAGCATTCCTGAGGTCCTCACCATCTATCCGTGCCATCGCAGTGCTGGGGGTCACCCTATATCCTGCCATCACTGCTCCACACCACGGGCTGACAGCAGGCTGCTCCTTCACAGCCCTTCCTCCAGATACGCTCACCAGCAGGATCTGTCATTGAACCCAGTCCCAAAAGTCCTGCACTACTCATGCGAAACTCCCACTGAAGTCAAAAGGAACATAAAATAAAACCAGCTGCTCTTTGCTGTCACAGCCTAAGTGCATTAATGTCTTTTTATCTGCGTGGGGGCAGCACGGCCGACCTCCGTTTCCATGCAATCGGTGTTAATAAAATCTCCCTCTGCAAAAGCGACAGGGGAAGATACACTTCAATTGGCATATTTTATCTGAATTGAAATTTGAGTGCGAGTCTCATGTTCGTAAAAACCTCTGTTAATAACTCTCATGTGTGACCCTCCTCTGAGACCAGCTTTTGGGCTGATTATTGCCAAAGAAAATGCTTAGGAAACATCTATATACAGCAGCTCCCAGCTTTGGCTTACAATCAGGAAGTCATCTTTGAAATGTTTTTTTTCAGTCAGTTTAGGTTATTTTCACAGCAAAATTAAAAGCAATCAGCCAGCATCCCCAGACAGCCTTTGCTGCATGCAGACAGCTTTGTGGAGATAGGCACTCAGCTGTCCCCAGAAAACAGCAGCAACTTCTGGCACGTGTTGTGCAAACACTGCTCCACGGAAATAACCCCCTTCAGAAATCTTACCTCCCTCTTTAAACCGCACACGGTGCCAGGGTAGTTGTGAACTCTTTGAAGGACCACATTATGGACATATCTTCCAGGTCGCATCCTTCCTCTTCTTCATTTCTGGCACAGTCACTGAGCACACAGACACCAAAAACACACTTAGAAGAAGTTTAGGGGATTTACCAGCACATGTAGAAGCTCAGCCGTGCTCTAGCCAGCTGCTCACACTCCCATCCTGGAAGGGTTGAGCCATCCCAAATCTCAAGAAGTCTCCAAACACCAACAAGAGAGAGAAATGAAGGTGAGCATACAGGGCAAAATCCAAGCAAAGATCTTAAAGAAAAAATACAGCTTTGAGGGACGTGAGGCACACTAGCCCACAAGCTGGGCAGCGGCTTGCAAGCACCCGAGTTTTCATACCAAGAAACAGGCTCTAAAATTCTGTAGAGGCAAAATTACGCAGTCACTCCTTCACCTACCTGCCAGTTATAGCCGCTCAGGCTTTCCGAGCCTGGCATCACACAAAAAGGGTTGCACTGATCGAAACAGGAACAACTTCACTCAGAACCACTGGAGGTGTGGGAATCCTGCATCAGATACCTCCACAGCCTGCAGGGATGTAATTCATGTCTCCCCTGCTCTCCCCCCCTGTGAAGCTCCCAGGAAAACACCCTGTTTCGCAGCTACCAACCAGTCTCAGCAGGCTGATAGCTGTCTGCTCTTTTGCTCAAAGCCAAACCTCTGCACAGAAGCAAATTCAGGATTCCCAGGGCAGAAGAGTAGGTGAGAGGAGGCACAGTTCTGCAAGAGAGCCTAGTGCTTGAAGCTGGAAAAGACCGAGGTGGGTCTCTGGGTTATTTGTGGTGCTTATTGCAGAGAGCACCATAAGCAAGCACGCCCGGCAGTGCAGGCAGCAGGGACAAGGCAGCTCCCTGCCCTGATCATTTTAACATTTTCAGGAGAAGAGGAAGAGCAGGGGAAGGAGACGACAACCCAGCAGCACTGCAGCAGAGGTGGCCTGCACAGGAGGCACAAAAAGCACAGTGAAGGAGAAGTGAGGAGCCTGTCCAGAAGGCTCAGTTTCACAAGACGCATCCCCCAGGCAAACTAACAAATATCCATGAATTCCACCAGGAGAATGACCCCACACAAGGGACAAAAACTGCCTGGAGACAAACCGTTACAACCAGTGGTACATGGGACACGGAACTTGGCCCAAACCAGGTCAGTTTAGGTAAGAGTCACATCCTTGGAGCTGAGAGCCAGGAGGGGAAAGGCAGCAATGGGGAGGGGAAGCAGGGGGATACCTGGGAGGGTATCAACCTCTCTTGGATGCCATGGACATGGAGCCCTGATGGTCCAAAGACCTAGGCAAGACGTGCTCTCAGCAACAACTCCTCGAGTTTCCCCAGCTACATCTACTGCCCAACCTTCCCTTCCCCTACCCACAGACTTGCTTCATCCTGCTTACATTTTCCTCGGTGCTCTCGAAACGATGCTCAGACATTGCTTTCTTCAGATGCATGCTATTTCTGCCTTTTCCCTACAAATCCCTTGTTGTGTTCTAGACTGATATTAACCATTTTTACCAGAAGCTCCTTTTCTGAGCAAGCTGCTGTTAAGAGCAACTGTGTCTGTCTACAGCAAATGAAAAGAAATGATGAATGCACTTCATCAGTCAAGGCAGAAGAAGTGAGAGCAACACAAAGAGGTGGTAAACAGGCAAGGCATCCACAGACTATTTCAAAAGTAAATCAAGTTACGGAAACAATTAAAGGAAATAGAGAATTTGTCTGCAATTACTAGTTATATTGCTTCTCCCATTTGTACAGTATGCTATGCAGTATCAAGATGAAGAAGTAACCTGCATTTTTAAAGTGTCAACATTTAACTGTAAAAGCAGATCTTTTTCCAGTTGGGAGAACAGGTGTAAATCTCCCTCTCTTCTCTGCAGCTCCACCGAGAGGGAACTTGGCTGTAACTTGAACACTACATCCAAAGCTGGGGCAGAACTGAGGCTGCAGAGGTGGAAACAGGGCCAGCACCTCCCCAGCAGGCCCTGACAGCCTTTCTGGAGGCTCTGACCAGTGAGCAGACAGACACATCCCTTCAGCCCTCGCTGCTCGGCAGGTGGCAAACCACCATGAAAAGCAGTAAAGCAATTGATGATTTTTTTTTTCTTGCATTTTTCAGAGGTTCAGGCCGTGGCGGGTGAACCCCACTCTTCCCAATCTATGTTAAAGCAATGACAATAATGATTTTTTGGTCTACACCATTCCAGCTCAATGCATGAACCATAGTACTGCCGCCTCGGTATTGAAAAAGGCTGAAATATCGATGGGCAGCATCTAATTGATTGTGGAAGGCTGGTGAATACAGACAGAGAAAGAAGGAGGCAATTCACCTCAGTTTTACAATTAATCTAACTAATAAGCCTCAATTAATTTATTATTATCTCTCAATAGGTGCAAAAGAGAGGTGTGACTGCTACAGATCACAACGTGGCCCAGCAGCGCTGACAGCTTTAGGGTGACAGCCTGCTCCATCACCCCATCCCAGGCAGTCCCTGCATTTCCTCACTTCTCCTAACCCCTGTCACCCATGCCCAAACAAATCCGGCCCATGGGGCATGAATTTCGCATTTCATCTTTCTTTGACTGCAGCCAGGATGAAAGCAGGAGCTTTCCTTTGCATACACATTAAAAGAAACACGTCAGGTTACTGTAGGGAAGGGCATAGTGCTGCTGTTCTGCAAGAGCAGGGGAGACATTTGATAGTTTTCCCTCCCCAAAGTTAGACAAAATTTCAGCAATTCCTAAAATTTGCCAAAACAAGAAAACAAAAAGACTCCAGGAAAGACTCAGATCCAAAGATAACGGTGGCTCAGTCTGAAACAGGGCAAACTTCAGCTCATCTGGAAGTCTCACGGAGCAATTGGAACTTTAATTTAAAAGAGAATATTTCAAGCATCCCAGATTTGCTTTCTTTTTCTTTTTAATCAAATGAGAATATTAATTTTTTAAAATACTCCCTGCGAAAAAAGGTTTCAGTGCAAAGCTTCCAAAATGAAAAATTCTTTTGCAGGCTTCATCTAAAGAGACAAAGGCTTTGCATTTTTTAGTTCAAATGGATTGCATCTGTCTTCTTTCCTGATAAAAGAGAATGGTGCTTCTGGACAAATCCTGAGCTGGCCTGGGGGCAGACTATAACCTATGCAGCTCCAGCCAGCAGCGAGGAAATGGAGTGAGGAAGCTGTGCAGCACTCACCTGCTTGCTTAACCAGTGCAGACTGATGTAACGGAGTTTCCCCCAAAGTGAGGTTCAGAACAGAATCAAGAATAAAAGGTTTTTAATCCTAATTAGCATGATGAAGGTCATTTCAGAGCCCAACATGACTAGTGTGCATTTTGGCAAATCCATGTGGAGCCATAGGAGTGGTAGTTTGGGATTATCAGACTGCTTTCCTCTGGGTACAGGTAGGGCAGCAGAGCGCAGTGGAGATGAGCTCACCCTGAAGAGGACAGTCCGCGCCAAGGAACCGAGCATCTCAATTACAGTTCCCCCAAATCAGTTCTGGCAGAAGCTCTCTAGTGTTGCATTTGCTCCTAGCTGCAGGCTTCGGTTCATTTAAAGCAAACAATTTGACTCAACTCAAAACAAAGCTCTTCAATTTGGATTTGCCCCAGTTGGATTTTTTTTTTTTAATTTATTTTTTCAAGTGTAAGATAGAAATCAAGAATTACATAAGTTACTATGCCCGTGTAACTAGCACTAGGGCAGAAAATTTCCATCCAGTTCTGGAACCAAATTGAGAGCAGGTCCTGCACACAGCATTCACTTACAAGAAACAAACAATTTTTCCTCCGAGTTATCAGGAAGCACTAATGAAAAATCCTTTTATGAATAAAAACAGGCTGCTAACTTCCAGCAAAAATCCCAGCGTTAAAAGGGTTCATTAATACAGGCAAGATTTGCCTGACCAGACAAGAGCAGCGGTGCCCTACCAATGCAGAACGATGTCTCTGGAAGTGCTTAATTCCATATGCTTCAGAGGACAGAAGAGAAAAAAATAATTAAAAGGTTCTTAATGCATCTGGCCAATTAAATAAAGCTGTAAATGGTGAGGAAATAATTCCTTCCTGACCCCTGCAGCAATCAGCTGCTGACCTGAAGCATGAGAATTGATTAGCCTTATCTTACTGTAGCATGTATAACTACAAATGTTATTATTGGCCATAAAATCAGCCAACCCTTTATGGAACCCATTGGTAGCATTTGGCTTCGTGACCTCCCAAACTATGAATTTTGTGGGCTAGAAGAAACGCCCAGTGGTGGATGAGGCTCCCCGAGAAGCTCCTGCCCTGCAAAACTGGGATTTGGGGGAGATGGCTTCCAGTGATTCCCTAGTCCAGCACTCAGAAATGCAGTGATGTGCAGGGTAAAAATGTTCACAGGAAGATCACATTCACAGCTCTGAGACAGTGTCATTCCTCACCTCCAATCAGCCACCCTTCATCTCCTCTCACTCCATTAACAGCACGGCCGTCAGCACAGGACTAAGTGAATGTCGTCATGTTTTTGCTGGGGTGCGATCCACCCTCATCTTCCTCACCCTTCCTCCCCACATAAATCCCATGCCCCCTGATGCCGGTGCTCTCTCAGCACCTGCTCTGGAGCAAAACACCATTTGCAAAAGGTGGAGCACCACCCTCCGAGCTGACCGGTGAGCAATCGTGGGCTCTCTCGCTACGCAGAGCAGTCTCTCCATCAGTCCTGCCTCTCTCTGCTCCCTCCCTCAGCCTTTTGTGGCTTTGGTCCCCAAGGGTGGTATCAGGGAGGGTACCAGAGCTGCAGCCAAAATTCATGTCTCTGATGAGTTTTTGTGCAGTTCAGTCTCTCGGGAACATCAGGGCCCAGATATCTCGTATGTCCCAGACAAGCCCGGAGGGGACAGGCGTTTGGAAAGGCACGGCTCAGTGTTCTCCGTGATGGAAATGAAAAATTCCCAAATTCCTTACGGGCGCAACACAGAAGGCCCCATCATACTTCCACCCTTACTGTAGCCACAGAACAACGAGACAACAGAGCATTAAGAGTGCTATTAAAACTGGTAATGCTCCGAGGACAAAAATTACATTTGCACTGCATCGAGAGGGGAGCCTGAAAGAGGAATGATCAGTGCTGGTCACTCCAGGGCAGCAGCAAAGCCCAGCCATTAAAGCCGAACAAAGTAAGATGAAATGCTGAAGAAATCCAGCTTGAGCCCAGCTCCATTAGCGGTACTGCCAGCACAGAAAGGGGATGCAACGTGGCCTGTGTGAGCAAGATGGTACAAAAGATCAATGTGCAAGTCTGATGCCTTTGAGGACCAACTAAGAGTTCAGTCTCCTGCAACTAGGAGTCGCAGTCTCCTGATGGAGGGGCCAAACCCATCCGGTTTGGGGCACAGCTTTAAAGAGCATCTTTAAGTGAGCAGTCAGAGATTACCCGGAGGGATCTGGAGATGCAGGCTGGAGGAGAAGTCAATTCCTATGGCACCAGGGATGTGTCCTCACCTCAGCCTGGCTATGAGTGATGCTGACAGCTTCTGGCATGACCAGCGCCTCTGTGACCTTGTGCCCAGCCCACAGAAGTGCACCAGTTGTGTACTCCTCCCCGTCCTTTTCTAGGTTGCTGCTTTTCTAGGGATGCTCCATGCCATAAACGACGTCCCCATACCCAGCCTTACACCCACACCTCAGAGAGCAGAGCCCTGCTCCGCACTGCACCGCCTGCGCGCCTTTCTGGAGGTACCTGTGCGCTCAACTTCACCCCTCCTGGTCAGGGGGCATTTTACATTAATTAATAATAAAATTAATAACAGGGGGACATTTACATTAATAACCTCAAAAAAAAAAAAAGTACAAAATAAAAAGAAACAGAGGAGACAGAAGAAAAAGGAAAGACAGAAGGGGAAGGGAGACAAAAGGGAGTGGGCAGCTGCACACTTCAGATCCAGACCTGCTTGAACTCAGCTCGCCTGGAAACTCATTTCTTTTGATGACAGCCCCAATTAGCGTGTGGCTGGCTGGCAACCCAGGCAGCAGGGAGCTGGTCTCTATGGAGAGCTGGAGAGGGAGGGAAGAATTCATTCACCTGTATGGCTGGCAAAAGCCTGATGTGCTTAAATCTCTCAGATAGCTGCCTGTGGTCATATTTAACGTTGCCACCTGACTAGAGCGGAGAAAGGTGGTGAGTACCTTGACTGGAGTCAGTGTGAATATGCAGCATCCCAGTGGGCTCCTGCTCGGGCTCCCTCCAGCTCAGAGAGAGGCACGTGCCACAAGCAGCTGTGAATTTGCAACAGAAGGCCACATGCTTTTATGTAGGAATGAGTTTAGATCCGGCAGGATTTTTCTGAGGACCTCCCCACGATGGCCACGGGTGAAGCATTCCCCCTGGAGGGAGTGGGCACAAGGGCTGGACAAGCTGATCCTTGCTCTTCCTCTTCACTTAATGAAGAGATGGAGAAGAAATGAGCTTTGCCATCCATTTTGACTATCAGAAGCCTGAAATTAAAATTAAAAAAAAAAAAAAAAAGGAAATTATATTTTTTCCGGGCAGGGACATCCCAACAGGGTGGTATTTTAAAGGCTCCTGGGCAATGGGAACCCTGCAAGCCATGTGGCAGGTTCCAGGAACAGAAAAGTGAAGATGAAGCGGAATACAGAGAGCCAACAGACAGCAGTGAAAAGAGAGTAGGCAAAATAAAGAGGTGAGAGGGGACAAGAACACAAGGTGCAGAGGGCTAACTGAGTCCATCGGAGGAATGTCTCCAGCTGCTCCCTGCCTTCCCCTGAGCTTTGCAGGAGCTTTACAGCTAAGTCCAACAACAAATACTCACTGTACCAAAGAGATTATCAGTGTTTAAACAAGCAAGGGGGAAGGAAGGCCAGAACACAGAAACAAACTGCATCCCCGGGGCTAAGCGGGGCGTTCCAGCTCCTGGGCACCAGGTTGCTGCACACTCCATGGCTCCATCACAGGAAAGGGCTCATGTGCCTGTGCCAGGCTCCTGCATTCCTGCTTGTTAGAGAGTCCTCTCAGCAGCACTCCCCTTGTACACACCAGACTGCAGCAAGGCCCGTTTTTAGCCAGAGGCGTGCTTCTTTTTGCGCACCCAGACCTTAACAAATGGGAGAGACACGCCATCGCCGTGCCCTTTTAAAGCACACTTCACACGGCTGGCAGGTACAGACTCACCGTGGGGCTGGCTTTTCGTATATCACCAAATTGCTGCTGAGATAGAACAATGTGGAAACAAGCTCACCTCGTGGCCCTGCCTGGAGGCCACCAGCCCAGCGCCTCCCTGTACCCAACCCCATCCCTGATCTTCCACTGCTGCTGGACAGCCCAGACCAAGGGCTCTCATCCCTCAAGTTCAGATGCCAGGACTAGGATGATGTAGCATAACGCAGTGCCTGATTAAATCTTCTTAATCACCTCCACGAGGTCTAGATTTCAGCTCATTTTAACTACGCATGGCTGCACTTATGAAAGCTTTAACTAATCGGTCACTCAGTTTGGGGTGAAAAGGAACAAAATTTTGGTTTGTGCACATATTATCAGATGAATGCTTTATAGATACGTTTGACTCACCTAAAAGATATCCTTAAATAAAGCAGTATACTCTCATCTTGAAAACCAGAAGATTCAGTAACGAGGTAGACCTGAAAAAAAAACACCAAGTCAGGAAAACAAATGAGATGCTATGGTCAGAGTTAAATAACATAAATAACCTTAACTCTGCCCTCCATTTTCAAGCAAAATCAAAACACCAGCCAAGCCTGAAAGTATGCTGAGATGCTTTCATGAAGCACAGAGGCTTTGAAAAGCAGCATATGGATAACAGCACCATTGAACAAAACATAATGAATCTCTCTTATTAACTCTCTGCCTGCAAAATCCATTGTACATAACACATGGCCAGGCTTGTGTTAGTCTCCCCTTGGCTTAAATACATCATCCCAATCAAGCAAAGGTCCAGAACATACAGTTAAGAACAGATTCAAATATTTCTGGAGTTTTCCAGCCGAGAAGCTTTTGGGATTCTGAGTTGCAAACTAAGTTATGAATATTACCCAGAGATTAAATAAATGTTTTACTTTATTCCTTAATAATACATGTATGCATCTTAAATTAAAAATAAATAAATAAATAAATAAAAGCACTTCTGTTGCATGATCAGGTAATACTGGATTGGATGAATGAGTTAATTTATGATTATTTACAGTTTTGTTTACGTTCCTACATCTCCTCATCCTCACTGATGCCTCATGAGTGCAGGCTGAGTGTCCAACAACATGACTGACATCTGTCTCATGTGCTGCCTTCCCTCACATCCTGCTGACCCAATCTCCTCTTGCCACCTCTCCCCCCAAACAGAGAAGGAAAAACGTGCATTGAAATGCTTTCTTTTAGTGGGATTTTGAGGTAGGGTATCATTCCTTTTCTTTCTTTCTTTCCTTCTAAACTGATACTTGACTTAAAAGGGGGCAAGGTATCACACTTATGTTCCAGGAAAAGCCAAAATGTAGCACTCTCATTCTTAACATACAATTTTTGCATGGTGCCACCTTGAGTTATTTTCTTCTTGTTCTTTCAGTAAATACCCTAAAGGGAATAAAAAACATCTAAGGCTGAACAAAAGGGCTCCAGACTAACACATAACAACCTGCTTTTTAGTGGAGTTTGGTGAACCCTTGAAAAAAGCCAATAGTCACTTGACTAAATGCTAGAATCCACTAAGCGGCTTTTTAATCTACTTGTGCTTGTTTCCAGGTAGGAAGGAGTGAATACAAACACAAGCACAAGAAAGCACTCTCAGGCATCGTTATATGACACTGTGAATCCTGTTTCTCGTGCGGGGTGCACAGTGCTGACCCAGTTCACTCTCACTGGTGGCTCAAGTCTGCTCAGACCACGTAGCAGCAGGTTTCATATCAGGTCAGCTCCTTCCCTTGGCCAACATACATCCTGCAGCATGAGATCTGGATAATCCAGCAAAGGCGAAACAACACATCAGCACCCGATCTGAATGAAATGCATGTGACTGGGTTAACCAGAAATTCCCTGACACCACAGCTCCCCAGACCAAATTCTCTTGGTTCATTACCCCTTCACGTTGTTGAATTCCCACCAGGTGAAGACAAGAAGTGGCACATGACCAAACTGGCCCATCTGAACTAAATTACCTGCTTTCGCATCAGGTGTCAGCTATTGAACCATTCCTAGGTGGTTCCTCACTGCAGACCCAGCTTGGTTTGCAGCAAGCACTCGTGTCTCCTGTTTCAGAAACCAACAAAGCTATAATAAGTGGTTCTGGGTGCAGATGAACTTGCAAAGCAGCACAGACACAACCCTGGCACTGCATCCAGCCACCTTGGTTTCCTCTCTACAGAGAAGCTGCCATGTGGCCACCATACAGCAACCAACTTTTTTTTTTTTTCATTAAAATTAATTGATTCTAAGCAGGAAGCACTTTTTAATTTCCTTTAGCATTAGAAGTAATGTTAGCCTCCATAAATGAAATGAAAGACACCTCCCAAAATGCATTTTCAAATGTTCCCTAAATAGCAAATGACATTCAAATTGGATGCAGCCAGAATTGTAATTGGAAGCTGCAGAGAGTCCTCTTTCAGGATTCATAATAATTGCAGTTCCACTGAAAAGGTTCATGTAATAAAAGCCTTTGCAAATAAGGGCCAGCTTCTCCAAAACATGCAGCTAATTCTGGTCACTGCAGCAACACACAGTGCCCATAAATTCCCTTTAAGCAGCCAGGTAGTTACATGGATAGTGTCACCACATAGCTACAGAAGTGCAAAGCAGAAGGAATACAGCTGGGAAAGGTTCACAGAAGGACAAGTGCAATGTAAGGTCTGGAACAGCTTCTATATAAGGAACAACCAAATGCGTTGGGATGTTTCAGCCTAGAAAAAAAAAAGATCAGGACAATTTAACAGAGGTCTACAAAATCCCAAGCTGACTGGAGGGGTGGGTGGGGATTGCCTGTTAATCATCCCATCCAACCCACAAACTAGGAGTATCAGAGGAAAGTAATCAGAAACAGGTTCACAGCAAGTGAAAGGAGATGGTTCATCGTATAACAGGCAGCAGATGCTTGTGAGATGCTGTGGGTGCAGAAAGTTTACAGGGGTTCGAGGCAAGACTGGGCCAGTGCTTGGAAGGGAGAGCCAGCAAGGGTTATTAGACAGAGGAGTCTTATCAGACACAGCAAATATCCTGAGCTGAAAATAATTAGAGCCCAAGAGAGTACTCAAGGGAAGTATCATAGCTGCTTGCCTCTTCTCACTGTTCTTCAGCAAAGCAATTATGGTCAGTGGGTTTCTGGAGAGTTAATTCTTTTATTATTTTCTATTTTTAAAGCAATCTGCCTTTGCTGGGTCCTCCATGTAGTGCCAGGCACCAACCTGACCCAGCTAACCCCCACAACTCTCCTGGAGAAGGGGAGAACTGTGCAAAAGAAAAAGACACAGAGAAGCCACCTGATGGCAGGGAACAAGAAATGAGAAAAAGGGAGGTAGACTGAGAGGCAAACAGATGAACGCAGTTGTATAGGTGGCTCTTATGACTCTAATCCAGGTCTAACTGACTTCAAACGAGAGGGAGGAGAGGGCTGAGCATTTGCAGTTGTGCTGTTGTAGCCGTGATGGTGCTAGAAGAGCAAGGTGAAGTTTACAGAGAAAGGGAACTTCTTCCAGTAAGTCACCTGCTCGGGCAGGGAAAGCAGTCAGCCTCCTGGACATACAAAAACCCTTGATCAAGTCAGCAAAAAAATCTGAAGTGGGCCTTGAGCATCCCAAAGCTCATCTCCCTCCCTGCCCCAACTCCACCACACTTGACCTAGTAACAGATGCTACCTCTCCCTCCCAGCCTCGACTCCCCAAGTCTCAGTAAGACAGATGATACCCAAATAGGAATCGATAATCAGGTGGAATAAGGAAAGATGCATCATGCAGCAAATGGATCCTGAAAAGGGCAAACTCTAGCGAGGACAAATGATTGAGAGGGGGAGTTTGCAGCGGAGCAGAGGAAGCCTCGCTGCTCAGCTTTTCAGGACTTCAGGAAGGAAAGATTTTGGAAGGAGATCTGTGTCCAGAAGACTGAAACACAGTTAGGAATCCAGATGCCTGCCAGAGTCCTCCTATCTCAGTTCTATGTGGTTCAGACAGGAGGGATGGATCCAGAAATAGAGGACAGAGGTCACAAGTTACGGAAACGGGGACATTTCCCAACAGTGGGACATGAGGCAGAGGCTTGGGCCAGACAGCTAGCCAGATGGCTCAAGGAGGGCTCAGAAAACAAAACAAACCTTTTCATACCAAAGTCACTGCTTTGCTCTCCCATAACAGCAGAACCTGGCCTCTTGCTTTCTGCAGTTTTTGCCTCTTTTCAGACCATAATGCTGTGACTGACCAGGCTGCCAGCACCCTAAGAAGCCCATTCCTTCAGTCCTCTACCTCTGTGTGGGGAAGGACAACAAATGCGTCTTTTCTAGCAGCTGCCACACAGCCTGCACCAAACACAGGGTGCCCGGAGAAATGTTACCTCTGAGAAAATTATTAAAACGGGGCTAATTTTGCAATTCACACCTGGGCTACAAATGTGAAAGAGTTTGCAATAATCTCTAATGAAATATTACATTGTTTAAAGAGTTCCCAGAGAAATTCACCCTTAATTGATTTTTGATCTGTGAAAAAACACCGCGGAGAGAGAGAGAGAAAAAAAAAAATATTAGTCATACTCCTGTTTTATCACTCCTGCAAGCGCTTTCCTTCCTTTGTTTCCTTTGTCCCCAGAGAATCAACATGACACCGAAGAAAGCAGCCTGGAAGACACTACAGAAGTAATAAATAACACTCGCACAGGAATCCTGTTTGAACAGCGCTGTACCCCGCACACCCTCCTAAATCATTCTGCAAAAGGTGAAGTGGTCTCCGAGGAGCACTCAAAAATTAGAAAACATGGGTTTGTAGCTAGCACTGTCCCGGGCAAGCTCTGTGGGTTCAGGTCTTCTCCATGCAGCCCGTCCTCTGCTAAGGAGGGAGGCCAGACCTCTGCCACTCGCTGGGTCGCAGGAGCCCCCGGCAGGACTTGAACCAGCCGCTGGGGTGGATGCGTGCTTCAGCTCCCTCGCAGAATGCCACAGGGGAGCTTATGCCAGGAGTGAATGACATACAGCAAAAGCCAAAAATATTGACCGCAAAAGGCTGACAGAAAATTCATTACAGCATTCGTTTTCAAATCGGGATGAGCCAGGGTTCGAGCAGCTGTTGAAGCTGAGGAAGCAGGTTGGTATTAACTGCCAAGTTAATTCACTGAAAATCACTTCCAAAAACCAGCAGCAAACTGTCACAAAGAAAATGACCGAAGAGTAAAATATAGTTAGAGGACACAACAGGAAATGCATCCACAAGCATCACTGGAGACAGAAAAAAAAAAAAAAAAAGAAAAAGAAAAAACACAAAAACACAAAACACTGGCTGATAGAGATGAGTGTAAAACACTAACCACTTAGTACAAGTTACCAAACATTAACAGCAGCCAGAGCACTTGTTATGGATGAACAAGGGTTAACAATAGAAAAGGGGAAAAAACAAACAGATTTTCTTAAGACCTGCTGTTTGGAGCCACATCATAGACTGATTTGCCCAAACAGACACTGTAACATCTTTCATGGTAAACGAGTTGTGATGGAGGCAACACCACATTTAAATCTAGGAGGTGGTGAAGTGGAAGTCCCTGAGCATGCTGAAAGTCTTCAACAGTAAAGCCTTTGATAAAAATCAAAGTATTTATAAAAAAAGAAAAGGAGAAGAAAAATCCTCCAGTACTATGGAAAATCCAAGAAGAGTCAAGCCAGTGAAAGAAAGGCAACCCAAGTGACTGCAGTAGAGGGTGAGGTGGTTTTTCACCCTGCAAGAATAGTTGGGACAACCAGGACTCTACAGTTCCACACAGATTTAAAATACCTTCAAAAATAAGGATGTCTGGAAGACACAAAGCATTTACAGCATTCACCAAGCACCAAACATGAGATTCACCATAAAGACCAACAAAGTAAGAGCATCTCCTAACCATGCAGCTGGAAAATCACGACCAAAGCCCTAGCTGCAGCGCTACCTCCGTTCTACACCCAAGCTCTGAGATTTTTCCCACTCTCTACTTAATGCAACAACCTGCAGCATCAAGCAGTACCTCTGCTAAGATGCTGAGCAACCTGGTTTTCAACTGGTATCTCACCCCTTTAGATTCAGAGGCTTTCATCTCTTTTGATGAACACTAAAGCTGTTCCTCCCCATGCAGCTATACCTCGAGCACTTTTGCTCTGAGTCTGTGCATCACCACCTCAGGCTCTCCCTATGTTTCCCCGCTACCTCTCAGCCCACTCACACCTCATCCACGTCTATCTGGTGGAGATAAACAAAGCAAAGTGAAGGCTTAGTGAAGTCTCAATGTAACTGGGGGAAAAAAAATAAAATAAAAGGGTGAAAATAAAAATAATACATATATATAAACAGTTAGCAAGTTACTTGTTAGGATGAAACTCAATCCACCCACACCCAGCTCAAATATTTATCTCTGGAGGAACTGGACCAGAACAGCAGCTAAAATTCTAAATTCTGTGGGCAAGTCAGAATGCCCCGGCTCCTTTTAGCCTGTGCAGAAATGGCCATTGCAGACCTCACTCAATTTCTGATCTGGTTTGCAGTGCTCCCTGCTTACTGCCGGGGGCACCCAGCCAGGCAGGCAGGTGGCCACAGCATGGCTCAGACACAGCCCAGAGCAGGAGCCTGACCTTAACCACAGCCTGTGAGCAAGGGAGGGAAGCCCTGGGGAGGCCCCGAGGAAGCTTTCAATACTGGTGTTCTCTATTTTAATTACATCAATGAGAAGATGAATTAATTACATTTCTTTAAAAGTTTAGCTTAGTTTGTTTTTTTCCTAATGATTAAAAAGTACCAAAATTCACACCTTATTGAGGATGGTGTAAGAAACAGCATGCAGCATATGTTGTATTTGGTTATAGTAGTTAATCTTGAATTCAGTCAAGCTCCAACATGTTTCACCTAGATAACGAGTTACTATATCCCAGCTAAATCACAGTAACCACCCACGTGCTTACTTTTAAACAACAACAAACATGACACAATTGATTAAAAGGACATACTTTATGATTTCCATGCTCAGGTCAGTTGTTGCTCGTGTTTTTGTATCCAAACCTGGAAAAACAGATAACGCATTTCCTTCAATTTTATACCAAAAACATAAGAATCATAATATGGTTCTTACAGGAACTATTGGATCAATTTTGCCTTTTGTAAAGGATGTGTTGGCTTACATTCCCATCAAGAGGTTGTACATTTCAGCTACTGCTAGAGAACTTTTCTTTACAATTCAGATAATACACACAGCCAAGACTGGTCTATAATACAGTTGCTGAAGCATCTGAGCAAAAATTGCTCAGATATTATAGTGTAAGGGATCTCTCTCTGTCAGAACTAGTGAAATTTCAACCTCAGATGTGGGATTGGGGAAATTAACCCAACAGGATTTGAAGAGGGTAGTTCACCTGTGACCACAAGTTGGTCCTTAGGTAGGACTCAACTGGGATCGGTCTTTTCTTTACAGGAATGGAGAAGTGGAAGCATCAAAGGGAAGCTCTGCCTGCAAGCTGTCCATTTCAAGGGCTTTTCATGTCTACCAGTCAGAGGAACCGCTTTCTGCATCTCTCCCTCAGCAGCCTTGTCTAGACCATCACACTGAGCATCTGGGGCATTTCATAATCTCTCAAGAAGTGTGACCTTAAGTTACAAGTTACAGAGTGACCTGAAAGATTGTTCAAGAAATATATGGATTTGACTTCAACAATACACAAATTCCTCCAGCTCAGATTTTCCTGTGCAGGTCCAAACCACACATTTTCTCACAACTGCAAAGAGTATTTCTTGGGTTTGTTGGATATGTTTTTTGGGTATAATCATGACAATTTTTTAAACTTCAACATCAGTGAAAACAACCCTTCACATCCCATACATGTGTTTGTCTTCTGGAAAAAAAGGAGCAAAAGAATCAGCAATGTCCCAGAAGATGACAAGTGTTAAGATGGCCCATTCAAAAAGAAATTTCAGGTAGCTCTTTCAGAGCAAGGCTCATTTTCAGATCTTAAAAAGCATCTTCTGTGTCAGGTGCGTGCCCTATTTTGCAGGCCCAGAAGCTAATGCACCAGGAGGTATGATGGATCTGAGCAAGGTCACGAAGCCTTATGGCAAAGACAAGGGGAGCCAGGTCCTACAGGTCCCAACCACAGCTCTATCACTCTCTGGATGCGGAGGCACCTGTTTTGTTGTTTAAGGTACAACCAAGCGTACTTCTTACCTGATTCCTTTGAATATAATGCTCTACATACTCAATTTGATTTGTCTGCTTTGGAAGTCTGCTCCTTACTAATTCACATTCATCTGCCTAGTTGTTCTTGTTCCTTGTACACTGTCATTTTTCTAACTGCAACATATTCAACTACATCATCCTAGGCATTTTATTTGTGTGGTTCTGCTCTAACGGCTAGCTTAGCTGTTTCAAATTATGCCTTGCTTTCAGTTTTGCTTGAGTGTAAAAATGTCGTGTAAAAATGAACTACCCTCTGATGAAGGCTTTCAGACTTTCCATTTGAGGAACAGCATGCAGCTTTTGGGGGGAGCAATGGGAGAAGGATCAATCCAGCTTTTGTTTTACAGATTGCTACAATAGATAGCTTCCCCATAGGGAGTGTTACAGTACTATATTATGCTTATATAAAGGGTAATGACTAGGAACTTGGAGAACTCTACCCTTAGGAAGTGCTTGACGAGTGAGAACAGCAGGTGTGGAGGAAGGAAGAAAGACTAAATGTCTTTCTGTCCTGACTTTCTCTTCTTTTATGTTTGGAGACTGAACTTGGAGTCAGAAGCAAGTTGGCTCCTGCAGGTACTTGAAAGCTGAAAGATATGAATGTGGCAAGACAGAAAACCCAAACAAAGAGAGGAAACCACTAGCCCCAAACCCTGTTCCTAAGCAGGTTGCCTTGAAAGGAGTTGTTTTCAGCAATAGGGTGCTCTTTAGCTCACTATGGGAAAACGAGGCAATTACAAGAGGGGCTGGATATAGGAGAAAAAGCAACAGCACGCACACCGCTAAGGTGCAGCAGGGAAAGGCTGCTTTATGCTGCAAGAGCTTCTGATTGTGTCAGCAGCAAGCTGAGGAAAAAATAAAATAAAATCTTGGATAGGCTCTACAAAGCCATTTTGGCCCACACAAACCTTAAATGCAAAAACTATCATCTCAGCCCTTGTAGACATAATGCTAAATGTGCCTTTTTGTTGCAAAACAGCATAATGAACCCACCACAGGAAAAAAAAAAATCAAAAGAGATATTGATCTGCTTCACGTATAATAGGCAAAAAATATGTAAAACCCACAAAGGGAAGACCCCAAAACTGCTACCAAGATGCATGTCCAGCTGAAGTCTAAGGTGCACGTGGCTACAGCAGACACAGCTGCCTTGGGCAGCAGCTCAGGGAAAGCAAGCAAGCTTCTTGTGCTAAAGCAAAGTCACATCCCTGAGCAAAGGCAGCCAAGAGAAGTGTCTGCATTCATGGATGTTACACTCAAGAAGGGCAGGAGCAGAAGCCATCACATGCAGGGCCACTCTCCTGTTCCTACTCACATCTCGAGACCCCGGCCTCGACCAGCCTCTCCCCCTTTCACAGTGCTTTGAAGCAGTTTTAACAAGATTTCCTCTGCCTCCCGCTGACTATTTAGCCCTTCTCACCACACAACACACCAAACAGCCACAAACCCAGACTGGAACAGCCAATGGCTATGGTGTGCATCCATTTCTAGGCTGTGTTTTATGCTCACAAACAAGCAGACAAAAAGACAGTAAAAAAGTAAAACATCAGTGACCATGCTGGACAGCAACAGTGCTCCGCAAAGAAGGAGACACAAAGACAACAAAACAGAGCCAAATTAAAATGACTCTACCAGTCACAATACCACAAAGACAATACAAGTCATAACTGAATACTAAGGGAGACTACGGAGACTGAAACTCCAAGCACAGTCAGTGCAGAACTACTACATTAGCCTAAAACACAACTTAATCCACAAAGCTGTGATGCAAAAGCTGTAGCAAATGAATATATGACAGACACACAAGCAACCAGAAACAAAGCAAGAATGACCTCCACAGTCCCCACAACATCTCTGCAAGAGAAAACATCAAATGGTATTTGAAGGAGAGGGATGGCTCTCAAGCACACTACAACCAGAACTCGGTGAGAGGAGAGCAATATAGAAATACTTTATGAGAGCAATATATAGAGGGGATGCACTACATTAAGAAAAAAAAAAAAGAAAATCATCATTAGTGCAATAGACATTTCTGGTCTACAGGACTCCCCCACACTGGATAAGCTGCAAGGCAATGGAGCCTAGCAAATAATGGATTTGTATGCGAGTGAGCAAATTCACCACTGGTCAGAGAGCTCCCATCCAAATACAACTGGCTGAGGAAATGCTAATTCTTATGGCAGAAGCAATAGAATTTGACAAAGTCTAGCTCTGGAAGCAGAGCACACACAAGACACACACTTCAGCACCAGGGAAGCCGCAGCCTTACCATAGCCTAGACACTGGCAGCTGGAGGTGCAGGGACGGGAATGCTGTCCAGGATCCAGTCTGCAGGGGAAGATCTTCTGTGCCACCAGCAAGTTGCACAAGCCAGGCTCCAAGCAATTAGGATCCTCTCTGATGCTGCTACGCCGCTCTATGTGTGAACTGCCAACATACAGTTTAAGATCTGGCATACAAGGACTAACTCCTCTTTGATGGCTGGAAACAGCCAGGAGGGGAGAGCTAAAACCAAGATGAAACTGATACAGGATCATACACAAGCGATTTCCCATCTCCAGGTTACAACCCCATACCACACAGTGAAAGCCGCACAGCTGACATCCAGAGATATTACAGAGACTCAGAGATTATTAGGACTTGTGAATGATCTAATAAAACATCTTCCTAGTCCTGCTGTCCCCCAAAGGCAATGCCTGGACAAACACACATTACAGCTGCATTAAGACAACACAGCTGCTATATAAAACAAGAAGCTTTCTCAGAAATGCCATAATAAGAAGGAAGGTGAAATCAAACCAGTGGCAGAGGATGGGGACCTAAGCCATCCCTCATTCAAAAGAGTAGCTAATACCTGCAGTCATAATAATCGATGGAATAAGTCCGTCTTGCCTTAAAACCTGCATGTAAAAAAGGATGCAATATGTGTGTGTGTGTGTGTATATATATATATATATATATATATATATATTCAGAGTCAGTAAAGGCTTCAGGAAGGAAACCGCAAACAAATGCAGAGTGTTGTGTTTTTTTTTTTTTTTTAAAGCTACAGTCTGCAGTCCAAAATATTTCCTTTGCCACCCACTGAATCTGAAATACCACTGCTTGCCATGCGCTGCAGAACGGGGAAATGTCCTCAAGGCTGCGTCTCTCCCCTAGCATTCTCCCAGCATCAGCACGGGCTGCTGTGATCCCAGCCCTGACAGAAGTTCAGAAAACTGCCCAAAGAAAAGTATCAAGCAAGCTAGCCAGCTTCAATGCCGGGCTTGGACAGCCTCCAGGAGCTACATGAGGCCAAGCTTTCTTCTGCAGGGGCTCCCACCCACCTTCCTGCCCAGATGAGCATTTCAGCCTTCATCCAGAGACCCCCAAGTCCACCTGCACCCTTCCTGAGAGTTTCTCCTTTTCTGCAGGTTAAGTTACAGAGCAGAGAGTGTGTCGGAGGTCTGGAAAGTGACAAATGAGTGTAGAAATGCTGATCAGAAAAGAGGCAAATATGAAGTGCACACCATCCTCGAGAGACCTTAGAGCAAAGTAGGAAGGAGCGTGGCATCAAGAACAACACCTTATCATTAACTGCTTCTCATCGGCCTTCTGGAGAACTGTCAGGTGCGGCTGCAGGAAGCACTACAAAAAATACAGTGAAGCTGTTTGGCAACAGGTTAATCCCAGCACATGCTTGTTCAGACAGCGGGCTCCAGGTTGCTTGCTGTGCTTTTGTACCATTTACCTGGGAAGGAAATAGAGCCAGATCATTAGCACTGGGCTACGGTAACAGCAAGAGCAGAATCAGCAATTCAAATAGCTATGAATTAGCTAAAGAAAAACTGCAGAAAAAAAAAAAAAAAAAAAAAGAGCAGGGCAGCAAGCCACTGCTGGACAGAGAAGGATTCCTTCTGGAGACTTGAGCCATGCTAAAAGTCTGCATCCAGTCTAGCACCTCTTGCTCCCGTGTGACTCCAGCTAGCAGTGCTGGTAAGAGGACAAGAGGTAAAGACAACACGTAGGTGATCGTCGGCTTGCAATGAGCAAGCTAAGGATGACAGGATTACAGCCAGCCTGCCTGCCTTCTCTGGGACAAACAGCCCCTTTCTGCAGGCCCAGCCACACGTGGGAAGGAAGTTAGATCAAACACACATATCCCCACTCCTGAAACACCCCTAAATCAGGACAATCCCCACCACGAGCCCAAGACAAAAGCAGCGAGCAGAGGAAGGTGAAACAGGAGCAAAGAGACTTGGTGAGCAGGGAGGAAGGACAGAGCACCAGCTGACAGGCCTCCCACAGATGCCAGCAGAGACGCTCACCATTGCAGGCAGGTCCCGCAGGAGGCCCTATCCTGCCAGAAGACAATCTTTTCCCAGGATCGCATCACCTGCAGGAGAGATGCTCTTGCTGCATTTTCAGATGCAAGCCGCAGATGACAAGAAACACACTGTGAAGCACAACCACAGCACCTTACACAGATGGAGCGTATGGGATTCAGGCTCCTGCCTGCCGTGCCACGGGAAAGCAACGGTGCTAAGACAGATGGCAGAGGGCACTGGGATAAACTGGGACAGCAGGGGACCAGGAGACTGCAGAGTCTCCATATTTGAGGATTCTGCAAGCAAGACAACACCCGTCTGTCAGGGACGGTTAAGCAGCGTTGCTCTGGTTGGGGTTGGAGACCACCGACCACCCTGCTCTGCATGGCTAGGCCTCCTCTGAGGCCTGAGGACATTCATTAGAGCTGCCAAGCTCAAACACCGTAACCGTGCTCCCACAGCCCAGCTGTGCCAGAACAGGGGTGCACCTGGTTAGTAACATCACACAGCGTCCATCCCATGTTTCCTTCACTGGGACCAGGAGGACGGTGGGGATGGTATTCCCACTTGGTCAGCGCTGACAGCTCGCTCACGGGAGTCGAAGTTGCGTGAAGTCAGTGAGAGGTGCTGCCTACCCGGGCTGGAGTGGTTATTGATTTCCTACGTGACCTTGGCTAAGTCACTTAACCTCAGTTTCCTCATCTGTATATTGGGAATTATGGGACTTGCAGAGTGCCACAAATTCATCAGAGGGAACTACTTAAGAGTCCTATTATGAATTAATGGGATTTCCCACTTCAAAATCACTCCTTTGAGGATTGAAGCAGTTGGACTGGGATATTCATAACCCTGACTCCTTCTGTAAGTGCAGAGCATTTTATTTTACGGTTTTTCCCCCTAAAAACACCCATGTAAATCATCTAGCTCAGGAGCACACGGTGTAAGCATGCCCAGGTTCAAGGCTCTTTACAAACACTTGCTTAAATGACTTTGGCCTTGTCAGTCATCCATACTAACAAGCCCCTCTCCTTGCCCAATTCATATGGTTCCAACCATACGGAGTTTCACACCATGAGCTGTTGTGGTAAGAAGCTCAGCTGGGTTCTCGTAGTGTGAAGTCTGTTCAAATTAAGCTGCAAACTGTCACGCAATGGCTCCCTGGAAGAAGTAAAAATCCAAAGAATCATCTTAAAAACTAAATGTAGTTGTGGTGTCTTGGTAAGCCCAAAAAGGCTGGTTCCAAGGTCCTACTGCATCTGTGGTACAAGCTAATACAATCCCATCACCCATGGCAAGGTCCTGATCACTTGATAACCCCTGCAGAGCCAGACCTGCAGCTCCCTGGGCTGCACTTTGTGCTACCGCCTGGCATAAAACCAGCACTTTGCTTCCAAAGACCAACCAGTGCATTGATTTGCAAAGCAATTCAAGGTTCCTTGAGGATGAAACAGGCTAGTGTGGTGAGAAGCTTAAAACAAAAGGCTTCTCTACAGTGGGTACTTTTTCCAGGGAAGCTAAGATAACAATATTCAGTGTTTGCGCCTTACCACAACCAGCGCTCTGTAAGCACGCTCAATGATCAATACCCACAGACGGAAACATCCCTTCAAGACCACAGGACTAAATCCAAAGAGCTTTCCTATGCTATTTCTATGCTAACTTGTTCCTCCCTGGGGAGTTAGAACACTTCCGAGACTGAGAAATACTTCTGCCCCGTCACACTCCCTCACTCCTTCCTCACCCTTCCCTTCATCCTCCACACAGTTGCTTGGTATTTATTCTCTTCCATTTTATTTGGATTTTCTCTGAGCAGAGTCATTAATCTTCCCCATAGACGCACAGCTCTGACAGCTAGGGTCTTGACACCTCCAGTGCCAGTGAAGGACATTCTCATACTCTTCTTTTTGCTTTTTTCTTCCTTTCTCTTTATAAAGAAACCCTTCATACCTCACCAGCCACAGGGTTTTGATTAGAAGGCCATGCAGACCGGGGTCATGTGAACTGGAGACAAGGGGGCTGTGGGGGAGGAAGGCGAGGGGAGAGGATGCGACTCCCACAAGGAACTCCCAGGTCCCACTGAAAAGGTCAGCATGCTTTTGAGTCATCCGCACTGCTCCCTGACACAAAAAAATATACTCAGCCCAGTGCAGAGATACTTGATAAAGAGTCTAATGAAGTGGAAAGAGTGTTGCACGGAAAGAATAGGCCTCTCTCATCCTGACATCCCATGATGCTCCATCGAGTTGCTATGGAGACTTAAAAGAGAAGGGGGTTTTGTTGTCTTGAAGGGCCTTCTCCCTTCCCAGCAACCTTGACCTTTTCCAGGTTTGCGTGTTGGTGTGTGTATGTATTTTAAAGAGAAAAAAAGAGATAAGGAATTCCATTTCTTCTTATCTGGTCATGGCTCAGTGGCTGGCACTGATGCATGTGGGGGGCCATCAGCCTGTCTCAGTGTGTAGATTTGGAGAGGATAAGAGCATGAAAATGCAGAGGGGAACAGTTAATTAAGGCTGATATTGCAAAGGACGCTGTTTGCTGAATAATGAATTCCATATGCTTCAGAAACACAAGTGCAATTAAAGGTGTGAGAGATGAAGGGCAGGAGAGGAGTGATGGGTCATACATTACCATACAAAATGGCCCCACTGGCCCTCCAAAGCTAGGGGTTCAAATAAAAACACTACGTGTATTACAACCAGAGATTATTTCTCATAAACAAGGCAGAGGGGTTGCTGCCAGTACCCACGGGTGAAGGAGGGTTACCTGGAGTTGACAGCCATTAGAGAGTGATGTGAGAGTCATTTAGACAGGTCGCAAGCAGCTCGCTTTATCTGATACCTAAATCAAGATGAATATGGAGTTAAGCAGACAGGCTAATGCAGAATAATGCTGCTTGTAAGATGTTCATGCTCATTCCATACCCATTATCCAAAAAAGCTACCTACTTTCCATTTTCAGCCAGCCATACAGTCAAACCAAGATGTTCAGAGATGGGGCTGTCGCTAGCAGCCCACAAATTGCCCCCTCCTTTGTCCCTCCCAATGCCTGATGCCATCTATATCCCACCGAGACACACGCCACCCTCCCCATCTCCTTCCCAATGGGAGAGGGAGAAACGTGGCACTGGTGTTTGTGCCCTCAGCTTGGGTCCTCTGCTGCCTGCAGATCCTGCTATTTCCCAGGGCATAAGCTTCTGTGCCCTTGTGTGCCATGGGACAGATAAGCAAGTGAGAAAAGATGATGGAAAAACATTAATTTTGCAGGACAAATGCCCTCTGCTTGGCTTAAGAAAATTTTAATACCAAAAGGGGAAAAAAGACAGGAATCATCCCCTGCCATAACCTCTCCAACAGAAGCGAAAAACAGGCAGTGAACTCGACCTGAGCACACAGCCACCTCCAGGATCAAGGTCTGGATTTGGATGGAGTGCTGCACTGCCCAGCCCCATCCTTAGCAGCTGAGGGTAATTCCTGTCAAGTAAGAAAACCAGAATTTGACACCATCTTGCACCTGGTTTGCTCGCACTGTAGACTAATGAGAATCTGCTCTCTAGGACATCTTTGAACTCCTTTCAGTGATCTGTAATAGAAGCATCCCAGGGTCAGACTTCTGTCCGTTAGGGATTTAGCCTCTCTGACCCTGAGGAGATCTAGGATAATGTTTACGGTCACCGCTAACCCTGTGTCTGTGCACCCCTAAATTAATTCCTTACCTTGCAGAAACTCGGGTCAGTGCCACGCTAATCTGAATGAAACCCCTGACAAGTAATCTTGGCAGCTGTCTGTTCTCCACCCTCCGAGCCTGGGTAAGCTTTCTCAGATTCTGACTCACTTGAAGCAACTCCACTGCACTTGCTGGTCCTGACAGCTTGCCACATTACCGCTCCAAGTGAGAGGATAGTACAGAAAAAAAATCATAACAAAATTATTGGAAAATATTTCTCTTTCAGCTGAGAGTGCTGTTGATACGATCGCCTTTTCATTTTCTGCAAGAGTATGTGCGCGCGTATGTGTGCTTCTCTCCCCACCCTGTCTCTCAAACTTATGATGTGAGCAGTCGCCTGGGCTTGTTTGTCCATTCCCAGCCTGCCAAACCATTTTCAATAATAAGATCCATCTCCTCCTGCTCAAGGCTGTATTGTCTTCATATCCTTGGAGATCAGATGTCTGTTCTCCCTTTTATCACTTGAGCTGCACGTGTTTTGATTGTAAACACCCTGATAACACTCGTTAGCCCCTCACAAGTGAAATAATAAAGGATAGATAACATTTCTAGCCATGATACTTATACTGTCATCCTACACTGAGATAACAAGGAGCAGAAAGCCTGTGAGTCTGTCTTGCTCCGATAAGGATCTTGTCACCATAGATACAAAAGAGATAAACTTTCTAAAATAATATCCTTGTTCGTGTCACTTTGCTCGAGTTGGATAATAGATGGTGCAATTCCTCCCTCTCCCCCCCATGAAGTATATTTATGGTTTCTACCATTCACATCACTAGTGAAACAAGACCTTGATGTGTTACAAGGCAGGCAGAGCACGCAATAATTCACATTTCTCACCCAGGTGAGAGCAGCTGACAGATATCATCTCGCATGACGACGTTTTGTGGGCATCTGTGAGGAAACGGTTGTGATCCCAAGCACATTGCCTGGCAGACTGAAGAACACACCTGAGGCTTCTTGCAGAAGGGTGCTAACGCCATGGCCCAGACAAACACGAGTTGTCTGCACACAGGCCTGCTACATCTCCCTGTCCACAAAACCTACCCAGAACCAGCAGAGCCTACTGCAGCAGCAAAACCAGGGTGCCACCAGCTGAAGCCACTGTCCTTCTGCCATTTGTGCTCTCAGAGACCGATTATGCGGAGGTGAAGGACTGCATTAGCCGGACAGGCTGCAGGTTTCACACAGGTGAACACACATTTTCTCCTAGAACCCCTCATGCAAAAGGTTGCAGTTGACCCAAGACCGTAAAGCTAGGGGCAGGAACAAACCCCGATGCCTTACCTCAGGCCAGACTCTGCAAAAGGTCGCTTTTCACCACACAGCACCAGCAGAGAACAGGACAGGGCAGGGTGTAAATGACACAGCCCGCATCCACCAGCCTTGCTCTGACAGCCCTGGGAACAGAGAGAAAAAGCTTACACAAATTTATTGCTCTTCCAGGACGCATCAGAGGATCCCTCGTGCTACCAAATCTGTCCCATGTTCCTCAATGGCCCAAACTCTTCCCATCTCTCCCAATGGGACGATTTAGGGCCCTTGGTGTGGTGACAATGACAATGATGCTATACCCTTTCCCCTTTATTTTGATGTCTGAAAAAGATAATCCTGCCCAGGGAACACAGCACTGGAGCAGGTGCCAACATTCAGAGCCTGTCTTTATCCATGGTAACTACAAGAGATGCTTGACATTTATGTGTTGAAGCATTTCTTAAATGAAAAATGGCTTTGCAATCAAAATGAATACGTGTGCAGAAAATCTCCAATTTGGTTGAAAGTTGCCAGGCTTATAAATTGAAAGCTGAATATTTCTCTAATAAAGTAAAATAAAACACAATAAAATTATAACAGTTATTCAAGAAATACACCCAATTATTCCAAACCACTGTACCCCTTTAGAGTTGCATTTTTGTTTGTTTGGTTTTAGGGAAGTATTTTTATTCTTAATAATACTTTCTTAAGTATTTAAAAGTATGGAAATAAAATGCTTTTAAATTGACTTTTGCTGCAAAAGTATGAGGTGAAGCACCTGGCTGTAGTCTGCCATACTTAGCTGTCTCCTTGCAAATGGCAACAATCACCATAAAAGCAGCTGACATTTTACTGGTGACTGGTTTGTATGGTCTCCATACCATAGGAATATAAGAATTTATTCTCCTCGTGGTAAATATTGACCCTGGCTCGCTTCACTGAATATTTACCTCTTGGGTCAATAAATCATCATGTTCATCTCAATAGAAGTCAGTATCTGCTTATTATTATATTAACCTTTATGAGGCAGATAGCAGTTGTTTTTCCCTATAATATGATATTGCACAAATTGGATAACTAAGAAAGATTTCTTTGTGATAGAATTTTTGACTTCCAACTTTTTTGCTCAATTTGAGGCACATAAAATGAAACATTTAATGCACCACATGGAGCTGCTTTTCTTTTACAATTGGCTTTTGGCAAATATATTAAGAGTCCTAGGACAAGTCTTGGGACACCTGTAAGATCTACACATGGATGTGTCTTCTGGCCAACATGGTGAAATTGCTGCACCCTTTGGCTCTCACAGGCAGCTGCACGTGGTCAAACTTTTGTCCTGGCCAGGTGTTATTAAGCCTTATGAGAGCACACATCACAGGATGCAGTGAAATGCAGCCAAGATATTGGAAGAAGAGGAAAACAGATACGCGATTTTGTGAGAAAGGATGGAAGGATGGCTCGGCAGAAGGACAAGTGGAAGGAAGGATGGACAGAAAGAAAGAAGTCTGACAGGAAAAAAAGGAATCTTCATTAAACAGCAGAAAGGCCACGTGCTGAAGCTGAGCCTGGTCTCTGTTCACCAACATGCAGGAACATTTTGGAAAAAGGAGATACCTGGTGAGGCAATGCTTGCTCCCCTCTCATCTCCAGCCTTTGTAGATTAAAGAGAACATGGCACTTCTTCAAAAGTGCAGAAGACAGCCTTGACATTCTGGCAAATTCATCCCTTCAATAAAAATAAATGATTTCCAAGGCTGCATGTGAGATATGGCTACACATATGGCTGGCACATTTTCCTACACATTGCTTGAACTATCACTATCTACCTCATTGCTTCGTAAAGCACTATGAGATACAGCTTCTCAACTATTAAAATTACAGTATAAAACATAACTCTCCTTCATATGGTAAGCTCAAAAGCTCTTTTAAATATGATATACACTCTTCTTCCCTTCGAATCTAGATTTTAACTGTGCTTCCTTCACATGAAAGTACTGCCCACAGATGCCATCCAGACTTGCCACCCAGAGGAAACTAAGTACTGCCCGTATGTTTCATTTATCTGGTACTCCAGTACGTACTCTGGTACATTGCTGCCCAGTGAGGGGGGTTGAGTATTATAAAAGAGAAAAGACTGAATGAGAATGATATTGTGCCAGAGGCTGGAGTAGAAAAGAAACAGTACAAAGTCATATTCATAATCAGTATAAAACAATGCTGCAGTTTGCTGATTTATTGTGGACATAACTGTGGTCCCAAACATCCCTCTGTTTATAAACACTCATTTCCAAAGGCTTCTGAGCTGCCGAACAAAAACAAACTCCAGCCATGATATGTGATAAACAGGAAACAAGCCAGAGTAAATACTGCAGTGGGAACAAAGCCTGGGATAGCAAATACAGAGCCACAAGGGACAGATACCACACAAAACACGAGCGAAGCACACTCTCGTGCATGGTGTGAACACCTACTGTCAAGCAAAGGTTAGAACTCAGCTGCAGCCTCGAGGGCTGCAACACCAGGTTTGTCAGTGTGGAGAACCAAGCCACACATTTTAGAGCAACATAGCAATGTTGCTATAACAAAAAAGCAAAATAGCAAAAAAGGGGATTGTCACCTTCAAAATACAACAGAACTGCAAGGCTGGGCACTTGGTCTAGATGGCTTCAGCCGACGATAAAATCCAGGTTAATCCAGGCAGATGCTGTGGCTCTGTCAGCAAATGGTGGCTCCAGAAAAGCCAGCAACTGTTCCTCCTCTCACATGCTAGGCAAAAGCCTGGCTTTGCAGAAATTCCACTTCAGCCAAGGCACCCAACTTCTCCAGCCAGGAAAAGAGGAAAACCATTCCTGAGCAGCTCCATGGGGCAAAGTATGTCTAGTTCCCTTCGCCAGGAAGGGGATGGACTACAGCCATCTCAGCCAGCCTAAGAACAACGTGAGCATCATTAACAGAGCAGAGAAGGCAATGTCAGACAGCACACCGAACAGTGGCTGGGGACAGGCTGCCACTACCCTGCGTGAGCCCAGGCTTGTTCCTTGGCCAGAGGCTGCAGCGTGCACAGGGACAGGAAGGACAGCAACATCAGCCACTGCACCACTTCATCACCAGCGAGCTTTCAAATGCACCCATCCTGCCTCCAAAATCCAGAGCTCTGAGGATGAAGGATACCTCTACTCAAGGGCATGTTTCAAGCTGATGGGGCTTTACAGCAGGGAAAAGGGTGACAACCCCAAGCCTGCATCCCAGAGACAGGAGGCTTCCTTCTGTGACTGGAAGGCAGTGGCCGAGCAGCACATACTGGAGGGGGGTTACATGCAGTCCAAAAACTTTTTGCCTTTTTTGTCTTGTTTTTCATGTGATGGAATTGTAGGTTTTCCTGCTGCGCTTTAAAAAGGGCAGAAACAATAACCTTTGTAATTAGCACTTGGCAGAGCAAGCTCCTGTCCACAATAAATTAACGGAACCAATTAGGGAGGAGGGAAAAATAATCAGATGCCATAAGGTACGTCCTGGCTGTGCCAACCTATGAGCAGAGGCCATTCTGGAGCACAGTCAGGCGGGGATATCCCAGTGGGTCTGAGGAGGGCCAGGCCAAGACCTCCTTGCAGTGCCCAAGCCTTGTCCCAGGCAAGGGAGGGGAGGAAAGTCAACGAAAGTCAACGCACATTTCTTGTTGAAACATGTCGTATGGGATTTATTGCCTTTCTCTTGCCCCAGTGATGACGACCGCACCCTGAAAGGGCCTATCAAGGAATGAGGTGGCCAGAGACCAGTTCCCTCACGAAAGGAAGCTCTCAGTTGGGATATGATGGGTGGGTAGCCCTGTGTTATAACCTCACCTCCTCGATTTGTTTTCTCAAAGGCCTGCAACTCCTCCACATTGTGCCTCATGTCTATCACTACCACTCCACCTGGACAGCCCGTTCCCTGCTATCGGGACATTGTGGAGAAGCACTTCTTACCTCTATCAATACTTATGCTGCTTTAAATAACACCACTGATTTTTCAGCCTCTACCCGGTCAACTTCTCGCCTCTCCATCCCAGAGCCAGAGTAAAAACTGTATTTCAACCTTAGGAAGACATTTGATCCATCAACCTATGAAAGATCACTCTGAGAAGCCGTTCAAATCTGCTAGGACATGAGAGATGTTGTGTGCTTCAGAAAGTGGGTAAGAAACCATAAACCAAGCAAGATGATAAACAGCAACTTGTCAAGATGGGGAGATGTACCTGGTGGGGTTCGGCAGAGATCACTGTTAGACCCATCTTTTGTCACCTCTACATTAACGAGCTGGAAAAAGAAGTAAAGAGCAAATAATAGAATTGGCAGACCAAGCTATATTAGGAGGTGTTGCCATCACCAGGGAAGGACAGGAACATAAAACAAATTAGAAGACAGGTTAGAAATCAGGGTGGAAAATAAAGAACAGGGAAGAGAAATGTCTGTCCAGACAGATTTACAGAGTGGATCAAAAGCATTCAAGCAACCAGAAATTCTGCTCTGCAAAGGATTTTGGTATTTCAAATTTGTAGGTGCTGTTAAGCAAAACCCAAAACTTTCCCCGTAATAAAGTGCCTGGGGAAACAGCATTCCTTTGACTTCAACGAATTAAAACATTGTAAAAGGCAGTCACTATGAAAGGATACACATAACATATTCCACTCTGAAAAATATCAAAAGAGGGTATTTCAATATTGTCAGAATGCTCCCTTCACAACAAAATTTTAGCCACATTTCCATTCCAAAAAAAATTTCCCAAAGGAAAACTTCTGAAAAAATATCACTGACCAGCTCATGTCAAATCTAACCTTCAAAGAGCCATATGTAACCCCCTTTTTGCTTGCTTGTTTGTCCAGAAAATAGAGGAAAGGAGGAACAACAGTTCCTATCACTCCTGAATAAGTGATATTCAGCATGAGGGTCCTGCAGACAACCTCAGTATTTATTCCCCAAGGTAAGTCACTCAGGGGGGAATGCAGTCCCACTGCTTAGCATCCAAAAAGCCTGGGGGTGGGGTGTTGGCCTAATTTCTCAGCCTCAGAGTACATCCAACTTTCACCTCCCAGGCTTTTTTCTCAGCAGCCTTTTTTCCTTTAGCGCAAGCTATATAAACAGTCAATTCCCAGAAACAGGGCTGTAAGAAAATATTAATTCTCGTAAGAGCCCCTAGCATGCCTCTCCGGTCAGCAGCACAGGAAGCTCAAAGGAGCAATGCAGTGTATTTGTGCACCCAGAAAAAAATCTCAAGTAGCACATTCTCAATTTTTTTATTTTTTAAATAAACTCTGTCACTGCATGCAAAATAGCATTCCAGAAGCAGGTCAATGAAATAAGCAAGCAGCTGGTGGAAACATTGCTGTTAAAGCCATACTTACACCATAACACTGCGAGGCACGCTGATAGTTCACCCAGGTATCTCCAACAGTTCACCTAGATGTGGGTGCAATAGAAAGAATGAGATTTAAACAAGACAGATACACACACAGGGCCGAGAGGTGTAGAAGGGCTGAAGAAATATACAGCTCTAGTATTTTAAGTACGTACACAATATTAGATGGACATGCTCTGAAATCTCTGAAGGTGACATGATGGGCTCTCAATGTGAAAGATCACTCTACCCAGAATATTTTTCCCATTCTGGCTTGCTTTCTCCTAGTGGATTAGAGAGCCAGCAGATTGGACCATAAATGAATACCCAGCCAGCGCTGGCCTCCTCCCAAGCCTTAAATTGTTTATAGCCCATTCGATCTCCACTTACAGCCTTGGTTCTGCTAATCGAATCACATCTTCTTTCAATAGCCAGACTTCCCCCCCCCCTCCCCCGCCCCTTTTAAACACCATCTTATCTAATCTGCACAATTTGCATTTTGTCAAGTCTGTACGTGGTACAGGAACCCAGTAAATCGAATTTAATGGAGCAAAGAGCTCTTATCTAAAGCTCAACAATCTTTTACTTAAGCGTGCATATTTGCGCTTAAAGTTGAGATTTGTGAAAGCTGTTTTGAATCACATTCTTTTCCTTGAGATTTAGGGAAAAACATGGGGCTAAACTGTGGCTGGGTGGAGTCTGAAATTCTCTGATTTTGCCACCGTGTCTCCTTCTCCACTTCATGACCCATGCAGCAGAGATCCTGCTGCAACCTTTCTCCTCCCTGAGGAAAGAGGCTGCCTGGGGTAGGCATGGCTTATCTGATGCCACATGGGCACCTCTGAAAGGGAAGAAGGGCCACAGTGCAGTCCGATTCTCTAAAGAGGTGTGTAAGTCAGCTGTGGCACAGCGAGAAACCCAGAAGAGCTCTGCATGTCTTCCAGCACCCCAACAGCTACTGCAGCGTGGTGAGCATGGTCCCAGAGCAATGGCAGGCAGCACGGTGGACCTCTGAAGAGTATTTCACTGCTCCTCACTTCTCAGCTGGCTTCTGCAGCTTTCAGCCACTTTGACTTCCCAAGAGGACACGGCTGGCACGCTGTCCTTCGGGTCACTGAGAAGAAGGGAGCCTCACAGGCTGCTGCAACTCACTGCTTCCTGATTTATAAACGCTTTTCCCCCCTGTTGCTTATTCACACAGATCTTACCTTCCACCACATATCCACACGTACTTAAAGAGCAAAAACCTTGGCTAATTCTAAGGCTTTTAACAACAAGTTTAAAGATATTGTTACAAATATATCCTAGAGACTAATTAACCAAAGGTTTTCGGAGAGGACCGTGAGCCTACTTGCAAAGGCCTACCAGATAAATCCTTTCAGCTCCCTGTATCAAACTGGCCACGCATTTGCTGTCATTCTCCAGAGGTTCCTTCCTCCATGTCTGCAATTTCTATCTGAATTTGACCTCTAATATCCATAGCCCAGAACCACGGGTGTAGAGATGTAGGCAAAGACTGCACGTTGTTCTCCATCCCACCTCTGCACCCTGGCGAGCAGCAGCCATGTCACCTCAGCGTCCTGTGCTGCTCACTCCCTGGCTTTGGTAGGCATCACCTGTGAGACAGAGGATTCAGGGGAGTTTTATTGCCCCAAACTCACACAGAAGCCTTCAAAAGGATGACCGAAAATTGTTTCAAAGAACAGATTGCAACTCTTCGGTTGTGGCATGATGAGACCAGGGCCACGTTTTCTCCCAGAGCTCAGCCTACAGGGTCTGAATGAAGAGCAGTGACCCCACAGTTTTGCCTCTAGGACCTACACCAAACAGTGAATCCCAAACACTCCCTCCTTTTGTCTCTGTGGTGAGCAAAGGAGTAAGGATGAGGCCAAACAACAGCTCTAGATCTGCTTGGCGTTATTTTACCCAAATCAATGAACACAAAAAGGGAAAAAACCACACACGACTAACCCACAGACTCATTCACTCTTCCCCTACCGCTGCTAAAATAACCACATCCCAAAGAAACCACGTCCTTCTCCTGCTAGACTGGCTGTGTCCCATGACAGCAACAGACAGGTTTTCTTTTTCTCCTGGGAGAGCTGATTCGGAGCCTCAATTAAAGCAGATTTCAATAGACCTGAAGGCAGTAGGCTTCACAATTATTCCCTTTTTCTTTCTGTGTGTGTTTGGTCACTGAGCCTTGTTTCTCTCCACAGGGGAGTCTGCTCACTAAACCTGCTTGCTTATTTAAAACTCAGCAGCCTCAACACACTCCCATTTTGCCACCTGAGACCAAAATCGGGAGTCCTTGAGTCATTAAAAGCAAGATGCAATTAGTGCCAACACTGACTGGCTCACTCCCTCCTATTCCATGCCCATGTCTGAAGCTCCTTCCTTTGTGAGCTCTAATGCGTGTTTAATGTGCAACTTAATTATTTGATTACAATGGCGTAATTATGTAATTGTAATGTATTGTGCAAGTTGGCTGGAAGGAGACGGGAGACATTTGCTGAGTGACGTGGGATAAACAGAATAACAACAACATCAAGGAAACAGAATAAATCTAATGAGATGATAATTTGGAGGAATAGTTAAGAAAATGGGTACTTTGGAAAATGAAAAGTAGCTGGGCTTTTTTTTTCTAAAATTTTTAAATTAATTTATTCTTCCCTCCCGCCCTTTTGTGATCAGCCAGAAATTTCTCTCGCACTGCCAAAGAGGAAGAACGCGGCTGTGCTGGAAGGGCAGAGCCAGGTAGGCTGCCGCAGGGTGTCCTGTCCCCGCCACGCTCCTCTGGCTGTCACAGCTCCTGGAAGGACAACTGAACACATGCCCGAGCCGTTCCGAGCTGGCCCCACAAACTGCTCTCACTGTTCATGTACGCACGCTTTCCTGGAGTACAGGCACACAGGAGCAGTTTGGCCATAACCACTGACAATCCTACGACGCTGAAAAACCTCCCGTTTGCAATGGAAATATGGGGGGATGCACTGAGTGCTTCGTGGTAATTTGTTGTAACGCGGTACTGCAAGTACCTGGACAAGGCCTCCCAGCCAAGTCAGAGTGCTCTCCAATTTATGGATGCTCATATCTGTACGCTGAACCCAAAAATGAAGGGGAAATGCTAGGCAAATATGGTCAAGGTAAGCAACAGCCACAGGGAAGCTCGTTGCAAGAGCCATAAACCACATCTCGGAGACAGATTCCAAGTCCTGCTTTGTACAAGCCCTTCTAAGCTCTCAGGTTTCTCTGCTCTCCCTCAGAGGACTTTAACAACTCCCTTTCTCCCAGCAGCAAGCACATTCTCAAGGAGACCACATCAGTAAATATGGCAAGCAGGAGTCTAGACAACCAGTTCAGCCTACTCACCAAAATTCTGCTGAGATACAGTCCACCTGCAGCATCCTGGGTTTCTGTGGGAGACATAAGCCCATGGTAAGTATTTCAGGGACACTTCCAAACCTGTTTCTCATCACTAATTACTTGATATTTGGCAGAAGGCTCCGACCAGTAAGGTTTTCCATTGCATTGTGTTTCTCCAGTCAGAGCTGTGGTGGGTAGACACCAGCCACCACCCCAGGAGAGAGACCTGTACCCACTATACGTGGCAATACGTGCTGGTGGCTTGTTTTACAGGCGACACATACATACACAACTGGGTTTATATTCATGGCTATTTCAGCCAAATTCTTCTTTTGTGAAACAGCCGTCCGAAGCCAAAATTTGGGAGATGTGGGAATCTGACCCATTTCAACAGCAAGCTGCACTCTGATCTTGTCAAAACACACATTCCAGAGCAAGTAATATTGAAACTGTTCTGATATTAGCAAAGCAAACAGAGGCAATGACAGCCTGCAGCATATCTATCTGCCAGCTATCCAAATAAGATTAGCCAAGGAGCAAACTCCGTGATATAGAAGTGGACTCTCAGTCAGCCAACTTCAGTAAACACGAGCTGCCAGCCAGAGAGAGATGATGAATGTAACCAAATAACCGCAGGTATATGCAAACTCAATTTGCCAAAAGTTGTATCACTGACTCTTACTGATTTTGGTCCAAGGGGTCTAACTGCCTCTGGGGCTTAACACAGTTTAACATCAGGGTTAAGTGCATGCTATATACAATTACAGTATAGTAAAGCTTCACACCCCAGTTTGCCCACGAAAAGAGTTGCAGGAGCTATTAAGAGAAGAGAATTCTGCCCCAGGCTCCATCCCTTCCCAGAAACACACGTGTTGGATTTAGCCTCCTTTCTGAATCTGGATCAATCATCATAACCCTGAAAAATTCTGCCATCTCCTAACTCGCAGTGAGACAATGAAATATTTTCCACCAAAATAAAAAGTCAGCACTCTGAGCCAATACTTCAGGATAAAATGTTGTTTGGTGGGGTTCAGTTAATTTGTTTAAAGAAAAAATGTCATCTGAAGCCAGAGTAAAAGCATTTGTGTTTTAAAGTTAAAAAATAAAAATTTGTACGCACTCCCAGCTTTAAAAAATGAATTTTTAATGGAATCCTAACAAATCAGATCTGGCATAGCCCACACATTCCATTACGTTACTTTCAAAATAAAACTGACAAGAAAACTTTCTATGATGAAGATTTCTTACTGTTTGGCTGATTACAAGGTAAAAGAGTCTGCAGACTGGCTGGTGCCATCAAGAGTTTCCAGAGCATCTCTCTCAAAAGCAGTCGGGGCTATCAGCTTTAAAACCTACCGCTGATTCCTCTGTCGCTCCTGGAGAATGCATTAACAATTTGTTCCTGGACAGCAAGAGAGGTCTTCTGTGGATCTGGGCAGCTGTGGCCCCCCCAGCAGCATCCGTCACCCAGCATGTGAGGTCTAAGATTCCTGTCGTCGCACCAGGGTATTTGTATGCATTTCTAAGTGTTTAAGAATTATTATGTTGTGCAAAGGCTTGTATAACTCTTCAGGGAGGTCGCAGAGACGTGTTATATATTCAACAGACGTGCAATAAACACAATTTAGCACTATCTACCCACCTCCAAATACTCCAGTTCTTGCTCGCAGGAAAGAAAAACAAAACAATTTTAATAATGCATCAGCGATGGTTTTGATTATTAGATTTGCAGATTCGCTCGGGGTGGTGTGACGTTCGTTGCATACATACCCACCCCAAGCAAGCCGCCATCCTGACAGCGACGGGCGGATTGATGCGGAAGAGAGGAGCCCAGCACTCAACAGGGGACAGGAGCGAGCGCGACCTCCCCGCACGAAGGATGCCAGACTGAGAGCTGGAACAGTGCCGGCGGCCTCGCTGCTTAACCTTGGCCCATCCCCAATCTGCCATCACAGCTGCCACCCATGCTGGCCGACACAAAGACAGGACCTGGGATGCGCAGAGACTTTGAGACTTGCTTTTACGCAGGAGCAAGCCTGGTGCTCATATGCTGGCACGATCACTGACAGTTTCTTTGTAGCGAGGGCTGAAGTCTTCTGTTAGAGGCAAAAAAATGGATTAATGCTGGTAATTAAAGGAGACAGAATGTGGTGGTTAGGACTTAACAGCCGCTCTTCAGTGGAGAAAATGCATATAGTATGTCCCAGTAATCTAATTTAGATCAGGTAACATAGTATGAACTATGGTCTAAGCACTTGTATGCAAACTTGGCATAGCTCTGTATCTCCATTACACATCTACGTCCTGCAGGCCTGCCCCAAAGCAGCTCAAGTTGGCGCAGAATCTGACACAGGCTTTGGGTCAGGCCTTTATCACACTGGGCATGAGCACTGCCGAAGGATCTGCTAGGCAGAAGGACTTGCACCCTTGCAATCCAATGCATTAGTTTTAGCTGAAGAGTTAACAGACATCAAGGCCAGGAAAGATGACTGACATTAAGGACTGATGCCCAGGGAACACAGGCTGGAGGGACTGGAGCAGATCTTTCAGAAAAAGCATCCAATGTGGCAGATTCCACTGCCTCTCTTGGGAAGTGGCCCAAAATTTTGTGGACAAAGTCAATGAAGAAAGTTCCTCCAGGACAATTAAACGCAGAAGTACCACCTCTGGCTGATGAAGCCTCTCTGACACTGATGCTGGAGCTGGAACAGGACACGAGGAGAAGCACCACAGCCCCTTTACCATGTTTCCTCTAACTTTTCACTATCTGCTAACGTGTACTGCTTTCTGGTGTCCAAGAGATGATACTGGATGGATGACTCCCGGGCTTTAGCAGCAGAGCCCTTCTTGTATCTTCTGGTAAAAGGTGGGATCTTATTTCTAGTTTGGATTTTCTATTGGGTCTTTGCAACTTGGACTACCAAGACCTCTGCTGTCAGAAAAACAAACAAACAAAACAAAACAACAACTCTCTCCTGCCTATAGACTGTAATCCAGCTGTATCCTAGCCTATGAAACACTGATCTTCCATTCCTCTAGCAATGGAAAGGCTGCTTTTTGATCCTGACCAACTGCATCCCATCTTCTTCTCCTTTCTTCCCCACTGCTAGAGGAGCCACTTGGCCTCCTCTGCCTGACCCACAGGTGAACAATTAGAGAAAAAAAAAAAAAGATCTGTTTCTTATAGGCAACCAGCCTTCCCTGTAAACATTAAATATCAATTATAAGAGAAGCCATGCAGTGCTTTAATTATAGTGATGAAAAATCATCCCATTAATCAAGTTTCTAATCAGCTAGTTTCTCGTAATAAGGTAGCAACTGTTATTTTATCGATTAACTCTTAACAGGCCACCAAGATAAATCAATTCCACGTTTTTTTTGCATAGACCTTGTTTTACAACAGGAAAAATTCTTCCTTTAGCAGTGAACTTGCCTGAGCATGAACTCCTTGCTGTTGGGTTTTTCTTTCTTTAATTTTTTTTTTTTTTTTTTTTTTTTTTTTTTGTAGTGCTGCTACCTCCCTCTGGGGCTTGCTCTTCATGGCCAGAAAGTAGGCTCCTAGCTCTCACTTGCTCAGGCTCAATGGAAAGCCCTGTTGTCTTTCAGAGCTGTGATTTAGGCGGCTGGGTCCAATTCAGATTGGAAAAAGCTGCAAAATAAAGGGTAATACAGGAAATAGAGAGCTTTGCCTTTTGAGAGGAGATGAAAAGAGCTCCGCTCACTTAGTCTAGCAAAACAAAAGCCAAGAAGAAACATGGCTGTGGTCTAGAAATATATGGAGAACTGGAGAGAAAAAAGGGAGAGAGGAAACAAGGGTGAAAAAAAGCCATTTCAGTCGAAGAACAAATGGGAACAAAGCAGCTGTGAATTAATATAAGCTGGAATTTAGAAATACATGCTAAGAGGCTCAGAGCAGAAAGACTTTTTGACAAGCTTCCCTTGGGAGTCGCTGGGCAAAACCTAAACGAGTTTTTCACAGAACTCGAGCTGCACATGGGAGAGATGTTATTGCAAGGAGTTTGCAATGGTTAGGCACGAACACAAGGCTCCAAGGAGCCCGTCCTGTCTTCAGAGAAGGTTTTCTAGGATCCGCATCTAGGCTAGACATGAAGCCACTTGATTAATTATTGCCTCTGCTGACTTCTCCCACCTACTGCTCAGTTCAACACCAATTATTCAGGATCAGCTCATAATAACCTATTGAAGAGGTACAGCTTTTCATTTGCATAAGCAGTTTCAGCCAACACAGTCTGCTGAGACAGAAAATATACACTGAATATTTAGCAAGTCTGACGGCATTTTAGAAGCATGTGATAGTACACAACTGATGACATCACATGTTTGTCATGCTTCCTGAAGCTGAAGACTAACACAGCTAAGAACTTAACCCAAAATTGATTGGAGCAGTGTTTAAAAAACAGATTGTTTCTAGATTTAGATGCAACTCCCTGAGAACCCATCATATGATATCAAAGTTTACATAGAACTGCAAAATTAGATGCAAAGCCCTTGAGCAAAATAGAGGTTTGAGACAAGAATCTCACACCACCACCACCACCCCGTGGAAACATGCAACAGGGTAGAATGCTAAGGCCCAGATTTGGCTTGACCCACAAGCCACCAACGACTCAAGCCCCACATAATCCACAGCCGACTGCTCCAGCCTGGCAGGTAGCTGTGTGACAGCTTTAGGAGCTTCCCCAGGTTTCAGAGAGACCTGTTCCTTGTTGGGGTCAGCTGCTGAGTACCCAGAAACAGAGATTTATGCACCTACACTTCATTTAGCAGCTGCTGGCTAGCCCATTTGGGATGCTGCCCCGTGAAGGGCAGCCAGCAGCACGCGCCTGGCTTGGCACGAGGTGGCCTCACGCAGCATGCTGGAGCCAAGCAGCCCCCTCTCAGCTCCTGGGTCTCACAGCATTACTTATTGGTCCTACGCAATACCCCAGACCAAAGGGAGAGGTGGCCAGAAGGAAGGCTACAAGACACAAAATCCCTCCACTGTAAAACCTCTGCTGCCTAAGGGACACCCTGGCACCAGTGCCCTGCG